TCTAAAGCAGGGGCCTTCAAACTTAGCCTTTTGATGACCTTGGACTTCAGCTCCCAGCGTGCCTGGCTGAGGAATTCTGGGAGTTGAAGTCCACAAGTCATAAAAGGGCTAAGTTTGAATACCCCTGGTCTAAAAGATGTATAGCAAGTTAACAGAGGCAACTTTCCAAGTGTGTATACTAATTATACCTGCTGCAAAGGCAAGCTTGTCTTTTTGCTGGAGAGAAAATGAAAGATCTGAAGCTTTTAAAAACCTAATTAGATAAGGGGAAGGGTGCATATGTACTGTCTGTGATATGAAGGGAAGCAGAATGAGAGCTCAGGAATTCAGAACACTGTAAATTGCCAAAGAGTAGAAAAGAAAGAGAACACCAAAAAGGAAGAAGACACCCCAGAACTTTCTACTCAGCCAAAAGTATATATCTGGGCCTATGTCAAGAGCTTTATATTTTATATTGGCCTATATGTTAGAAAATGTTTGGCAGATAAATAGCTTGCTCCCACTCCAAAAATACTCTGTTTTCATTTCACAAAAAATACAATTTTAAGACCAATTATGAAAACATTACATAAATCAAAGGAAGTGAGAGATCATCTGGCTTAAGATACTCAGTGTCCCCATCCCATCATTGACTGAATCAGTGGAGAAGAGATAGTAATGGTGATCACTCTTATGGCACTGATATGTTTTATATTAGCAGAATCACACAGTAAATAGCTGCTTTTCTGTTAATTAGCAAAAGCCATATAACAAATAGGACATAGTCTTGACTACCAAATGCTTGTTCAACTTTCAATAATTGCCCACTGACCCATCCTGCTGAAACATACTAATTAATGAGATTAGCTATGATGAAACACATTTCATTTTTCATTAATTTTTGCATCCACACATGAAATTTGTTTTAAAAACTGTGCAGGAAAATTCATTCCAACTTTTGAACATAGTAATGTTTTTCAGAATAGTATCTCAATTTCACACACAAATGTCCATTAGATCAAGGATTTGCCTATTAAACTGAGTATTTGTTCATTAAATCCAAACTATATTGTAAATGATGTTATTTATCAGTTAATTGTGCAAATTATAAAACTGAAACAAATGCAATAACATAAATATAATGGACATTTGAAAAGGACATTTAACAGACTTTTCTGTCCCCAAATAGTCCATTAAATTGAGTTTAACTACTTCAGGTACCAATAAAAAGTGTTATCTATACATGCACATACTTGTGTAGACAATTGGAAGCACTTCAAGCAACTGTCTGAGCCTTCCAAAAGATGTGGCTGTGTTAAAGTTTTGAACAGAAGTGCTTTGAGACCTTTGAAGAGAAGTCTGTAAAACACATCTTCTGTGTAATTTGCCCAGATTTCAGACATAGTACTCATTGATGGATTTTTATAACATAAGCATTTTTGAGTAAAAATATTGCTTCATAAAATTCAGACATATATGTGCAAATCATAACAATATTCTACATATAAATACATACCAATCATTTTTCATTAAAATGCACAGACTAATTTTCTGTCGTACACACTATCTATTTGTTTTTTACTAGGATTTCAATGTAACTTCATGCTTCAGATTTCCAGAAGTAATAAACCGTATTCCACATTATAATTTCAGATCTATTTTTGTTACAGTCTTTAAAATCTACCTTATATAAAAATGCACAATTCTATACTTTGCTCTTTATTGGAAAACATGGATGAAATTTAATGAGGAGGTAGAAATTATGGAAAGGGCATGATGCCTCAGTGGTTAAAGACACCGAGATTGTCAGCTTAAGAGCCGATCGCCCAGTTCTAGACCCAAGCTCTATGAGTACCCGTTATTTGCCCCAACTTCTACCCATGTAGCACTACGGTGGGAAGGTAGCAGGATTCCATGCATTTCTGGCATATAGCCATGCTGACCACATGACTACAGAAAGACAAAGCTTTTTCCCTTGGCCCAAGAAACGGATGAGTAGTGTGCCCTTCAGTCAGACATGATTGACAGGGAAACCTTTATCTTAGAAATTATGGAGGCCAGACTAAGGAGAGGCAAACTGAAATCACTTTCCATCTTGCCTCAAAACACAGGTAAGGCAGACAAGAAACCTATGGCATCAATCATATATTCAGCCTTTCCCAGAAAGCATGTCTGGCATCAGGCCAGCCCCAGAATTTTCAGAACTCTGAAACACACAAGAAGCCTGGACTTTCTCCACTAAGGCCAGGTCCCAGCTGCTCAGTAAGACAGGCTGCCTTTCTTTCAAGAGATTTCAGGGTTCAGTTTATAAAATGCATTGCGTACAGTATTGAGGGGCAAAGAATCAAAACACTAGGCTAGCAAGTCTAAGCTGCACAACAGGGGAGAAAATAGGACACATTGTTAAGCAAAAAAAAAAAAAGCAATTTTTAAGCACTTAGCAAATAGAATGAGGGTGAGTCATACAAGTGATACATCATAGGAAAAAAACTGAGACTTGTCCCAAAACAAATTTAAATAATGTAAAAATGTGTAAAATCTTTTATGTTCTTGGTTAATTATTTTCTTCCCTTCCCCCTTGCACAAACACTGGCACGGGAGTGAAGAATGCAGAATTGGAGGACTTGGTTCAGAAAGACTATGCAGGACTGAGGGAAAAATACCTGGCAGCTGCTAAAACGAAACTTCAAAGAATCGGCTCACTTTGAAATCCCATCAGGCAGGATCTGCCTCTCTTCCCTGTTAACTTTCTAAAAGCCTGTGGGAAACTTAACCACTTCCTTGTCCTTAGCAGTTTTCAGGTCTTTCAAAGCAGGTAACAGTGAGAAACTGAAGGATAACAGGAACACCAGGCATCCCTCTCTATTTTTCTCTTAGCAAGAAACAATGTACAATTACCAATCATGCATGGGGTTGTGGCTTATAGTAAGGTTATAAAGCCCAGGGTTTAAAAGATCTGTCAATAAAGTTATTATTTTGATGCACATTTTCCACTTGCATCTTTCTGGATTTACCAGATCAGGTCTTTTCCTCTTATGACCTGTTCACAGTACGCTCAGTAGCCAAAATAACTTGCCAAGACAACTCTGATCTTTCAGTTTCCTGTACTGCCTCAGTAGAATTCAGTGAGTGATACCATGAAGCTCCATCAACATGTTGATTCAAATCCACCTCAGCTAAGAAATTGCTGAATGGCTTTTTGTAAAGTACCACACACCCTGACTCATTTTCCATCTTTATAGGAGGCAAACTATCAGGGGTCTTACAAGCAACAGGTTTTTCAACTAAAACAACAACCCAGGCTTTAACCCCAATACTGAGGTTCTTTGGGGGTGGGGAGACAAAACTAGAGGGTAGATCTACAAAGTATTTCAATAAGACATCAATCATGCTTTTCAGTATCTACCTCTTGTTGTTTTTTTTTTCAAGATTTTTTTTCACTCCCACAATATTTCCTTTGCGAATGAGCAGTAATTCCTCATCAATACTAATCAGCGCATTAGGAAGTACCAACCTTCTCTACAAGCATGATAGAGAAGAGATGGTTTACCTAAGTTCAGGCAAGAATGGCTCCCTTACATACAATATATCACACAGCAAGGCAGATTTAGCTGTCTGGAATGCAATTTTGGGACAGAATCTGACAACAATTAGGAATATTTGATGTGAAGTTCAAGTATCTAAACCATGACCCATGGTTGGGGACGCAAATGAAAGGAAAAGGAAGGGTGTAATCCACTTTTCCTTTTCTCACTGTGGTTTTTATTTTTTAATTTAAGCCTATTTTCTTTGCATTCCAATATTTTCTTTTTTTTAACACTGTATGTATTTCAATACATTAATAATGAAAATAAAGTGTTCCAAATGCTTTTCTTTGTCAGTTCTGCAGCTACCTTGTTTATGTTCCCTGATTCTTCTTCTGAGGAAAGATCCTGCTCAATGTTTAGTAATACACCAATTTATCTACATTCATCTATATTGGCCTATAAACAGTGCTTCAAATCTAATATTATTAAATGTTGCAAAGGTCCTGTCTCAAAAGTAGGTTTCTTCTCACCAGTAGAAATGTTGGACAGATCTAAAGAAATGCATGTTTCAGGTTTTTTATCTCTAAAGTAAAAAGCATCCCTGGAGGCAAAAGAGCAGAATACAATTTCAAATAATAATAGTTGCAATGATGATGATGATTGTGAAAGCAAACTGTAATGTTGTACAAATGTAAAAGATTAATAAAAGCTAGGTAGATATATATCAGTGATGGCGAACCTTTTAGAGACTGAGTGCCCAAACTGCAACCCAAAACCCACTTATCATTGTTGGGTGCCGTGTGGGTGTGGCTCATTGGGTGGGCGTGGCTGCGGTGGTAATGGCAGACTGCGTGGGACTAAAAAGTTCAATCAATCAATTCCAACTTTGCAAGATCTTTTTTTTCCCCACAAGAAGTTGAAATTGACTGATTGAATCTTTTTTTTTTTTTTTTTGCACACGGCAGCGGAAGCCTAAAGCGAAAAGGTTTTATAAAACCCAGCTGAAGGCCTAGGACTGGGGCAACGGTGCGCATGCCCACAGAGAGGGTTCTGAGTGCCACCTCTGGCACCTGTGCCATAGGTTTGCCACCACTGATATATATATAATGCTTGTACATAAAAAATGGAAGTTAAGAACTTCAGCATATGCTATAGAAAGACAAATCAACAGATCTTTAGATATTATATATAGAGGCAGAGTTTTTCTCATTTAGATGGTTATAAATATGATTAATATTTACTACATAAACAATTTCTTTTCTTCTGTTCAATCATGTCTGATTCCCAGAAACTGCCTTGACAGTGTTCCTGCAGTGTTCTTGGCAAGGTTTTTCAGAAGTGGTTTGCCATTGCCTCCTTTCTAGGGCTAAAAGAAAGTGACTGGCCCAAGATCTACCAATTGGCTTTTGTGCCTAAGGCGGGACTAGAACTCATGTCTTCTGGTTTCTAGCATGAGGCTTCGCCACTACACCAAACTGGGTCTCTAAACAAATATTTGAATAGCATATAAATTGTTGAATATTTCTGATTTTAAAGATTATAAAAACTAACAAAAGTAATAGTAACATTATAAAATTGCATTGTATCAAGAGACTGAAAACAAGTGCCAAAGATCATATTCCCACAGGATATTTAACAATGTCTGCCATTGTTCAAGTATAACAAAAGGTAGTTGAGATTGGATATAGTGGATTGAGCTGGTAGGAATAAAGCAACTTGAAGTGTGTGTGTGTGTTTTTTTTAAGGTTTGATTCCTATCACAAAAAAAAGCTTATTAACAAATTACAAATAGGTCTTTCCACAAATCTGTTGGATATAGAGGCAACAAGTGGCAAGGTTGGGGAAAATATCTGGATAATAATATAATGTCCTCTGGTTTTCAGCATCCAATATATTATAAATACTTGCAAATAAGATGTACATTGATCAGGTGCAAGTATCAGATGTTTGAGAATGAAATGCAACAATTTAAGGCAGAGATGGTTGTTGGGAGCATTATACAAAGTAGATGACAGTATTCCCTTGATATCAATATACAGATTGCTGTAAGAAGATCTACTAGCTTTCATTTTAAAGGAAGATACTGATAATAAATTCTAACATGAAACCTTTAAACTTTTATAAGTCCTGGTGACCACATGGTCCAGAAACAAAGGTCTTACTGTGAAAAGATGAATGATATGTTTTTGAAAGCAATACAGAGAAATATATTCACTAAACTGTAGAGTGAGCATATTTTATTACAGTTTTTTTGGCAAACGTCCATGGTCATTTTACCCAAAGTTCTTTGTTTATTTGACTAAAGTAATACCTTCATTTATAACTGAGGATAACAAATGGAAAAACCACAACCTACAGTTTACCACAGAGCAGCTTAACTCACTCTTCAGATAGCACAATCTTTTTTATGCTACTTGTATCAACAATGCCAAATCTAAACTCATAATATTGAATAATATAGCAGAAGAGTTTGTGTACAAGGAAAAAGTTGCAAGTAGGGGCATGCTCTAAGTAGATAGCTCCAAAAATTAACTGCCTTTTCCTAGAATTTTCAGGGTCTGTAATACTTTAATAGATATAAAGCTAGTGTTTAACAGAATTCTCTTTTTAGAATGGATTTGCTCATTGTCCATATAGAAGAAGTAACAGATACTCAGCCAAGTATCTTGGCTGCCATGTTGCCAAGAGGTCAGGACACAGTTCTAGCCTGTAGCTTCCTATTCCCCTTACAAATGCAGAGCCAGGACAGGACAGAGACCACAGTGCTTCCTAAGCTTTGATACTGCAGGCTCTTTGTATGGCTACAGCTTATATGCCTCTCTTCTTCTTTTCCCTGTGGAAAACAACAGAATTGCAATTTTGCAAAATTAATCAAAAACACAGGCATTTTCAAATAACCAGGGTTTTTTTCCTTCTTTAATTCGGCACTCTTTAAATAGCATGAAATATATTGATTTCCCATATTCTCTTCTACGTGGAATATGACTTTGGATCTAGTTATTATATACTGTATAAACAGGAACACCTAAATTATCATTGATTTTTTTTGTCTTTCCTCCAATCCTCTCAAAGAAATTTTTGGTTTATGCTGGAACTCTGAATAGTTCAGAAAACTGTGGATGTCTACCTATAAGCTGAAGAATAAATAATTATACCACCAATATAGTCCAAGTCCACAAGTTGCAAGCTAAAATGTTCCTTTCACCATATTCAATTAAATGTATGAACAAATTGGCCAATATGTTTCAAATATCAAACCCAGCTCAAGATATACATTATAGCAACAGTCTATAGTTTTGAAACAAACGTGATCTTTCTTTGGAAATGTATGAAAATAAAATACAAGAATTCTATTTATATCAATGAAATAAACAGAAAGTTATGCTGATCTTAAAATATTGGGGGAAGGGAAATCTCATAGACAGTTCATTTATTTAATCACACTGTATGAAAATTATTAGTATTAGCATGGAATGTATTTATTTCATTCATTTTATCTGGAGCATAACTTCCTTTAACCAGAATCTCAACAAACATCTAACATTGTATTTTTTACTGTGGAAGAAAATACTTGTTATAATACACTCACATTCTTGTATGAGTCTCATATGCATATTTAGAAAATTCATCTAGTTAGTTCTGGCCTTAGAAAAATTTTGCCCTAGAAGTACCATATTTAATAGTGTGACTTTATTCTAACATGGGAATGTAGCTTTCATTTATGAATAAGTTGTCAGTTCCTGGCCTTGTGCAAGAAATACATAGGAAGGTTTAGAACAAATTGTGAGATAGCACCAATGTGTGCATACATACAGGAAAAAGCCAGAACCGTGCCCTGACAGTTCAACTCAGAAGGAAGGGTTGGGCTGGAAAACATAAAACTATAAATTCCAGCCAAATTGTCTGAGGCACTCCTTTCCAAATCACTTGAATAAACAGCCAAAGCTTCTGACCAACCATTTTATTATTCATCTCTGGAAGACAACCATTTTGGACATCAGAACAATGAGCCCTAAGCAATTAGCTTTTTCAAATTTTCTGTATAGCATAATTATATAATTTAGTTGGATCTAATCAAGACTTGGGAATAAATTTCCAGAACTTTAACTCTGCTAAAGATTTAATGGCTAATTTAAGTCCATTTTTCATATCTATAACAAAATCTCAAGATAGTCTTTCTGAGTTTTGTCCTTCAAAATAGCCACATAAATACATCTGCAAGGATGGGAAAGAGAGGGTTGATAGTGATTGGGTCAAACAAGAAATAAAGAGATAAAGACTATTTTCCTGAAAGATACAGACATGATGTATGCATATATATGCATGCACACATATACACACAAAAACTGATATTTGTTCTATGAAGAAAAACATACATGTATGCAGAAAAATATTTGGAAGTGGAAGTTATTTAGAGTCAGTAAACTGCTTTGGTGAAAAGGATTAAGGCATCAAATTAGCAATGTCTTCATTTGACTACTGACTATAATCTTTTTTAAATATAGCAACATTGAATGATCAGCCAAACATTTCCTGGCATAGCATAGAGTCTGGTGCTTATTCAAAACATTTTTACACTGCAGAGTAATGAATATGTATAAGTAATATTAACAGAATGAATTAATCTCCACAAACACATACCAATATTAGTAGGCTTCATAGTTTCTTAGAGTATCAATGTCATGCAAAGTGGCAATTGGAACTTAGGGTAGATTATATGCCTACAGATATAATGAAGACATTTGTGTACAAAACCTTTGCCATTTCTAAAAGCTATAATGTTTCATAATTTCTGACTTAATTTAGAAGTTTTAAATGTTTGTAATGTGACTTTCTGCAAGTATCTGCCCCCTTTCCTCTTTTCTGCACCCCATCACATCAATGTCATCTGCCCTAAGACCTTCAGTGCCAACAGAATTTTAAAAAGCAAATTCTAAGGAAGAATAGCTGAACTGTTAGATACATGGGAAACACTTTAATTATATGAAGTAACTGCCAGTCTAGAAGAGTCAAGGAATTATGAATTCTCCTTTCCTCCCATTTTTTTTCCATGAATTTTGGAGCGAATAATCAATAAAAATACTTTTGAAGATTTAGGTATCTGCAGAACAGCCTAAAAAAGCAACCAAAAATGGGTAAATTCTTGAAAATCTTTACCTTCCTTGCAAGCACAGAAAAGAGTAACTGCAGCACTGACAATTTCTATTCTACCATAGACCAAACCAAAAATTTTAATTTTAATTTATTCAATGTAGGCACTGCTTAACTCCAAACTGACTCTGGGCATGTAAATAAAGCCAACAGACTAAAAACAGAATAAAATAATTATGAAAAATCAATAAACCTTTGCCACCATTTTCTCTCACCTGGCTGTTTGGGGTCATATTGTTCTGATACTGTAAAGCAAAGGAAAGCTAAAGTAAAATCATAAGCACAATTGCAGTCACATGATTTTCCACTTAGAGCCGTGGTGGCACAGTGGTGAGAATACTTCTTCTCCTGACTGCTACATCTGCTGACTGCTGGTTGCCAGCAGTTAGGCAGTTTGATTCTCATCAGCTCAAGGTTGACGCAGCCTTCCATCCTTCCGAGGTTAGTAAAATGAAAACCCAAATTGTTAGGTGGCAATATGCTGACTCTGTAAACGGCTTAGAGAGGGTTGTAAAGCACTGTGAAGCGGTATATAAGTGTTATTGCTATTGCTTCACTTGACCACCATGTTGATAATCCCAATTATGGCTGCTAAGCAAGAACTACCTGTATTTATGCAACTGTATCAGAGGAAACAGAGCACATTTCAGTTTGCTCTCTGACCCAACTTAACATCTTTATTGCTTTAAACCTAAAGTATAAGCACATCATAGATTTTCTTAGTGATTGCCAGTTACAATTGTGGTTGCTAAACAAGAATTACCTATGGAGAGGAAATAGGATTCAATAATTTCAAAATACTAGGAACTATGACATTTGTATCATCATAGTTATTTTGTATTCTCATAGCACTTAATTTGCCTTTAGTGTTCCCACGTTCAGCTTCTTTTCATGTTGGTAAAAAGCACAGGCATTGGGTTTATTTTTTTCAATTTTAACAGATTATAACTGCATTCAGATGCATTTTTTCTCCCTAAGTAAAACCAAGAGAGTGTTACTACATCAATGACTTGATACCCAGAATTCAGTGCTATACTTGATTAGGTAATCAAAAACAGATCTGGATCTCAAGATAAACCTATTCTTAAAGAGGATGCACAGCTCATGAATAATCAGGCTGATAATTTGGAAATAGTTTTTCAATGCCCCTTCCCAACAAACAATTCATTGTCCTGAAAGAAATTTCAAAGCAAGTCAAACAACAAGAATTATTGATATTTGATCCCTATCTAAGGATTGGGTGTGAGGAAGGGGAGTAGAGATTGCTTCAAAGTTATTCACATAAAAATAAAGACAGTTAATGAGCAATTGACCGATATACAATAATGGTCAATGCATTGCAGATTTACAAAGGGAGTTTAAGAGGGAAAGAATGGATCCTAAAACTTTGATCTGAAATAAATGTCAATATCAAGTTGAACTGAATGTTAGAAATACTCAGCCATAACTAGAGCTACTAGCAACTTGCTAATTTTTCATTTAGCTAATCTTGCTAATTATTTCTCTTGTAACTTCAGTGTTTCTTATACATAAGTATGAATACAGCTAGTCATTGTTTAGAGACTACAATAGGGACCAGAAACTTGTTAAGGAACGCACTTGATAAGTGAAATCACCACTATGCTTATGATCTTACTTTATCTTTCCTTTGCTGTAGAGACCTGCAAAGATTATAAATGCAAGGTCTGGTCATAAAGTTACTTTTTCATTATCATAACTGCAAACCATTGCTAGATGAGGAAGTCACTAATTGATGACTACCTGTATTAGTCTCTTGACCAAATCTTTGCTCGGACCTTGTCCAAGCTCAGAAGCTGGTTACAACTTGTTTGAAAGGACATCAGTGAACATCAGGGCTTTAAGCTAGATCGGAAAATTAAAAATCATCCTGGAAGAAGCCTACAGCAGATGTTAGAATAAAAGCTATAATTTAATGGTAATGTCTGGCATGCAGTAAGGTCTGAGATCCATTCCCTAGCATCCCCAGTTAAAAGAGTTTTCAATAGATAGATGGGAAAGGATTCTCTATGACATGTTATCAGAATAGCCAAACATTACTTTTATATGAATGAGAATTAGCAAATTGAACCAAATCCAAGTGATTTTGGATGGATATTTCCTCTGAAGAAATAGAAAATGAGTTTGGAGACAAACTGTTGCTGTTTCAGAATTCAAATGACATTAGTGGTCATGAGAGTTTTTATAAACTGTGTCTGGTTGAGCAACTGTAATTTTACTTGAAGGAACCATACTTACTCTAGTTATGCCTAGGCTTGATTATTTTAATGCTCTCTTACCTGGCACTGATCTCAAAGACAATTTAGAACTTTAATATATCTAGAATAATATGCTAAGCTGTAATATGATATTAGATTGACCATATTGTATCTCTTTGCTGTATGGGCTGCAAATACATTTCAGGGTCTAAGTCAAGATAACCAATTTCAGCCTTTAAATCCTTAAAGGCATCAGGATCAATTTTTTCAGAAATCTCTTCCTTACATGTTCATATTTTAAAACTTCTACTTTGGGTGGAGGAGAGGAAGAGAGAGACATAAAATGGATCCTTGAAAATTGATTTCAATTTGTTGCTAGGTATATTTAAAATCATATCTACCATTCATCAAAATCAGCTCCCTTATACTGATTAATTTCCACTACAGTATTTCATATATTAAAGGAGGAGAAGCATTTACATAATTGCTAAGGTTCACAAAAACTACAAGAAAATAGTGTCATTTATAGACAGATAAAACAATTTCAGACAAGTATGGCTAGTCCCATTGGCTGCTCTTTGAACAAGATACCCTTCTGATGACAATGAGAAAAGGCAAGATTCTTGTTTGACTATTTGTTTCATTGAGTGACTAGATATTATATCTTGAGAAAAATACATTAATACCAACTTTTCTTTTTTTTTGTTATTTATATAATGGGCAAAATATATTATTTCTATATAATATCATCAAAAAACAAATAGAGAACTCTCATATCCACCACAGAATTAAAGACTGCCTACATACATCAATTAATCTAATTCAGACATGGTCTTGTAAAAAAGTAATATTCAGAAACTATAGGTTTTCATGGCTATTTATTCGTAAAATTACTTCTTGATGGTGCCATGTGAGCCAATATATATGTGCAGATGTTTCAATACTTATGTTGCTAACTTCTTGAAGAAATTAGTAGTCAGCAAATAATCACATTCTTGCACAACATTATACAAGCAAAATGCTAATGGGATTTGTGGATATGACTCTAAAACATATATATTTATAGTCTAATTGTTTCTCTTACCTCAGTGTAAAAGATGCAGGCCTGGTATCAGGAGTACTGCTGTGTGTTTGGAAAGCCCAAAATGAACCTCCTGGATTCAGTGGTGGTCGATAATTGGAAGCAGTTGCATTTATTTTATTAACAGCTCCATTTATCATATTTAAATTTGTCAGCTGAAGAGGAGAATAAGCAAATGACAAACATTTTAAAAGATTCAACAAGACAACAAAAGTATCCGGTCATGAATTTTCACTGACGGATTGTTTATGGATATATAGTTAAAAAAACACAGCCAATTTACAGAACAAAGTAGAAGTTAAATAGCCCAACATGAGATTTGGTAACGCTGAATATATATGAAGGATGTCCACTATAATAAAGATTCAACAAAAATGCACTTTTAGAGGTTCTTCTTTCTCAGAAATTTTTGAAGTAATTTAATTCAGTAAGCAGCAACATTTTCAATATTTTCATTAATTAACAGGAAAAAGTACATGTACAAACATACATGGTCTAACAGACAATCAAAATTAATATAGATTTTTCCTTCTAATGTTGTATAATAAATCTTTTAGCAAGTCCTCAATTCCTTAGTTCTTCATAAATTTAGTATACTAGAGACATACCCAAGAATACATTAACCATTTTGTTGATTTCAGGCAAAAATGGAGATCATGTGGGTTAACATTTCCATTCCTGAATTACATCTTTAACAGCAAGGCAACTGCAACCAACTCTCTTTAAACAAGGCATCCAATATACATAACATATATTTTTGTATTAACTTTATTTTAAATTAAAAAGAAATTCTTCTCATGTTATTAAGGCAATCTTCCACTGCTTTATTACCAAAGAAGACTCAAGTTTGTTATTCCATACAACATCTAATGTCAACTTTATCAACTTCCTACCCCTCTTTATTGGCTTAGGAACCACAACTGTTTTCTTCAAACCTCCTTTTTGTGAAACCTCAAAAACTCTGTTGTTCTGTTACTTGAGATTAAAACACTACCAAGAAGGTAAATTAAAATTAAAGGTTTTTTTTTTAAAAAAAATTCTAGAGTTTTAACAACTCTTCCTCAATTAATTCAAAATATGGCTATGAAAGGGGGATAATTAAAGATGTCCTAATTTAATATTAACAGGGAAAAGATGCAATCATTAGTTCTCCCTTCACTGAGTAGCTCCTTTTCTTTTCTCAAAAATCTGCTCTAGAAAATTAGAAAACCTCCTAAACCATGTGTGAAGAGATGCTGGGGAATCAAGAATTGTCAAAAATTATCCTCCTTTCCCTTTATGCCAGAAGAAATTAGTGCAATATCACTTGGAGACACTATTGTGTCAGAATACATCTTGACAATGCTTAGCATCTGGAAAATATATTTTTAATTTTCATTTATATTAGTATTATATCAAATACAATTAGGTGTTTATTCTAGTCCAAGCCAAGGAATAAGAATATGGGATTTCAGTGCCTTACCCAACTCCTTACTTTTATCACTTTTCAAAAAATGCTAAACTTCTTGAAAATATGACAATAGTATTATTTCAATCATAAACCATGCCATCATTTGGCAATTTTTCTCAATGAAGATAAGAGTTTTTTCTGCACTGTATATTTGATCATGCACACTGTCCTCTACTTCTAGTAAGAAAAAAAAGAGCTTAATGCAGCCATCTCTTTCTACATTACTTTCCATAGTTAAAATTCTGTTTGTTTTAAAGCTGTATTTCACACTGGAACAGGTGTGTAAACAGTTGAGCATATGGTGGGCAAGGATATTTCACGCATTCCACACAGACAGGTGTTCAACTTACAGCAGACTTAAATACAGTCACTGGAATCAAAAGTAGGAATCAGAGCATATTGGAGCATATTTAAACCAGCCCATCATGTTTTTTCAGTATGATAGTTATTCTTCCACTCCTTGATTTGTTTCTGCTGCTATAATTAACCTGCCAGCTCAGTAGATTCCTTGGGGAACCAGTAGAATAGTTCACATCTGTACAGCACAGCTCTGCTTTGCTGACTGTTACTTTCCATCCTCAACATTTGATATGCCTTAAGGTATATCATGAGCATATCATATTGAATATAGCCTTGCCTTAGTTTAAATGTAAGGGAAGAGTGCAAAAGCAAGACAAAAAACAACTTTTTTGCATAGGAAAAAATAGGTTTTATAGGCTTACATATTTATTTGTGTTTGTTAGATTTCTATCCAGACTTTCTTCCAGGAATTCAAGAAGACTCACATACTTCATTAGACCACTGTAACAACAACCCTGTACCTCAGTACAGGTAGTCCTCCCCTACCACTTGTTCACCGACTGTTCAAAGTTACAATGGTGCTGGGGAAAAAAAACTTTATGGCCAATTTATGACCTTTGCAGTATCCCTCAATCATGTGATTACAGTCAATACATATTATCCTCCCCCGTTTTCAGAGTAAAGAGATTGGAGAGGAAAGAATTGGAATTGGAAGAGAATAAGTTGTTTGCTCTTCTACATACCAAAAGTAATGTGATCATGCTGGCAGTCAGGGCTGGGAGCTGAAGATATGCCACACAAACAGCCTACTCTCTTGCAAACTCTTCCTCTTCGATTTCTCTGCTTTGGGAGGTGGGGAGAAAAAAAACAAGCAATTTCTGTAGGCAATCTCTCTTTTGTGTGACCTTTATCTCCGTTTGCAGAATGAAGAGATTAGAGAGGAAGGGATTGCAAGAGAGTAAGATGTTTGCTCTTCAACACGTTGAAAGCAATGTGGTCATATTGGAAGGGTTTATAATTTTTGCATTCATTCATTTCCTTTTGTGCAAAAGTTCAATAATGAACTTCCAATATATATTTTTTTTAAAGTGTTCCCAACCAAAGGAGATGAAGAACTTACAGATAGTCTTCACTTAATGGCAGTGTTTATTTATTATGAAATTTATTTGCTGCCCATCTCGTATCCAACTACTCTCCAGTAATTAGGACTGGAATCTCCATTGCTAAATGAAGTGATTGTATCACTTAGTGACAGAAATCCCGGCAGTCCCCATTGCCATTGTTAAGTGAGAATCACAGGTTGTTAAGCAAGGATCTCCTTGCAACTTTCTACTGTTTTTCAACACTCAGGAACTCAATGGCAGGAAGTCACAAGTCCTGGGTGGCTTACAAGCAGGCCAGCATGTAGATAAGCAGTGTGAACATATGGGGTGGGGAGTGGCTGTTTCTGGGCATGTCTTACTATTCATAGTTATCTACTAATATATAAAATATCTCTAGGAAGGAAGGGAGCCTTGTTCCGCAGTTAATTGAGGTCTACTTCAACCACATCCCATAGATAAATTACCCTCAGGCAAGTTTATCTGTACATTTGCCTTTATAGATATAAGAAAAAATATAGATTAAAGGGTTTGAGAAGTGTGAAGTCTCCATGTACATCAGAACTGATTTGGCTCAAGGCCCATAACATTCCTACCCTGCTTGCAGAGTTTACCAGCTCACAGGGTATGCACATAAAGAGCATAAGAGTTCCAGGCTCCAGAAAACATTCCAAACAAAACCTGCACAGACATTCCTGGGAAACCTGACAGATTTGCAGATTTGTTTGTAGTGTTTCCAGCACATGCATCTTTTTTTTTAAAGAATCTGTATTGTAGTGTATTGTAGGATTATTTGCTTTTCATTATTGGAAGAAATCAGATTTGGAATTAAAGAGTTTTAAAGCTAAAAATTCATTGGGAGTTATTTCAGTAAGGCTTAGATGTGCCAAACATTTGATGATCAGAGAGTTACCCTTCCCACAAAATAGTTACTTGAAGCTCAGCTTGACTCAGCTAGCAACTCCTTGAAATCCTTCAAGACTAAATCCAGCTAGGAATGATGCTGTTTCAGACAGTCCTTTTTCTTCTATATTGTTTTCTTTTATAATATTGGTGCACATCAGCTTTCAAGTGAATCTGACAGTCTAACTACTAAAGAAAAAGTGACAAACAAAAAGAAAGGTGAAGTAAAATACGGGTGGAAAAAGAAGGGGCGATGGCTAAGAAGAATTAAAACATTTCCTGTTTCAGCTTGCAGATGAATAGAAGATCCAGGAGGGAGAGGCTTAAAAATAGATTGAAAAAAAGCTTCCTAACATTGAGTATATTATAGATGAAGAGATAAATCTCTGTGGTTTAAAAGCATCGCTAATTATATATGTTTTTCGTGAGAAGACTGTGATAGAGAAAAAGAGGGGAGGGGAGGGGAGGAGAGGAGAGGGAATTCAGATGCCAAATATACAGCCTGGGAATTTAATCTCCTCCATATTTTTCTACCAGAGCATTGTAAAAAACCAAAACAATGTGAGATACCCTTAAAAGCAGAACTTGTTCATATTTCCTAGTATTTGATATAAAAAGATTTACTGTCTCTTACACTGGAGGCAATACATCACCATCGTGACTAGCAATCACCTACAACTTTATCCTCCTTATGAAGCATACACTAATTCTTGAGGTGGCTAGTGCCAGGCAGAGTGGTGGTGGTTTTAAAAGAGAGAGAGAGAAAAAAATCCTGTACTGGATATTTGTACTCCATATTCTCCACAAAGTTTTATGATAAATGCCAGGTTTTTGCTATGGACTACCTTTCCAATGAAAATACGAAATAATATGCCCTACCCCCTTTCTTACAGTGATATATCATTACATTTGCAGGAAAGTTGCTGCAAGCTTTGAACACTAGCTGACTCAACAGAAGAGACAGATATATCTTGTTCCAGCCCTCGCCTGGGTGGTCTGATGTTATCCTTAAGATCAAACTCTGTAGCTGGAAAAGCTGGAGCTGTTGCTAGTGAAAATCAGTTCATGAATTTGCACATTTATTCACAGAGAAATGAAGTAACTCTTCTTTTTATCAAGCTGGGCAATTCAACACATTCTTTTATTCACCATCAATAGTTAGAAAACACTGCAGTCTAAGCAATGTTTGCAACCACTGCTTCTGTTAAAACATTCAACAGGCACCAATAAAGACCTCACACAGAACTAATACCACCTCATAGAATATTACATAGGGAAAAAGTTCTCAGCAATATTAGCTTCATAAAACTTCTATTTGGTTTATTGTCCCAAGTCATGGTAGAAGTTCACCCACCCTCTTTTCAGAATTTTACACTCATAAAAAATGCTTCTATCTTCAAGTCCTTTTATGCAAAAGAGCCCAACTTCATTACTTGCTCTCATGATATCAAGATTCAAGATCACAATTTGGATATTTTATGAGAATTTGTTATAATATTCTTAGCTTCAATTCCTTGATTTAACAATAATGAATTTCATTACATAGATATATTAGTTTTAGATTAGCTATCTTCCAATATTCTCCAGTAATAAGTGACATTTAAAAAGACATTCCTTTCTGGCAACTGTTATCCAAATACCCCTTAGGGTAATTCAATAACCTATGAGTTGCATAATGCGTCAATTGCAACTCATGCAGCTCCTGTTGCCCTCTACAGTATATTGCATTCACCCACAGAGCTATGCATCTCTTTCATTAGACCAATAAAATACGAAATTTAATTCATATAATTAAGAAATGGCTTATTTCTATAAGCCTTCAAAAGGAAGAAAATTTAAAACTTATTAAGCCCGAAGCACATTAGTGCCCTCTACCCATTCTCCATCTTCTGATGAAGTGGATGAATGCATACTTTAAGACTCTAGTAACACAATCATAATGGAATAGCACTAAAGGTTTTGGCATTGCAGAAAGTATGGAGAAATAAAGTTCTCCTCTTAAAAATGATATTTTGATGGATCAACACATTATTAACTTTTTTCAAACCACCCAATAACTGAAGCTCTTGGCAGGTCATGCAGAAAAGCAAGTCCCTGTGATCAAGCACAGTTCAAGCAGATCGATTATAACTTATTTTTACTTGTGAAATAAATCTTAATCACTGTTTGTTTGCTTTGCTCTTTTGTAAATGACACTAGCATCAAATGCTATTTTTATTTGAAGTGGAAAATATGTTTTTTTTAAATACCTGTTGTGTAAGAAGGCTGATGTGACTGGGTGGCGAATATTGTCTAGCTGCCTGCTTCTCTGCCAATCTCTGAAGTTCTGCTGCAATATCATGATTATAACGCTTGTTGTCTTCTGCATCCTTATTCATTCTGGCAGATACACCACGCTGTCTGCTTGGGCTATGACTTCTTGATCCTGCTAAAATGAGTGAAAAGTTTTATTTTGCCATGATTTTTTCCCTAGCTATAAGAAATATGCCTTCTGTGCAAAAATTGGCAAGGGACAGAAATAGTCATGACAAAATAAAAACCAAGTGGTTTATATGAAAGATATTAATACACGATTCTCAAATACATTATGTATATTTCTATAGCTAAATTATACAGCAGTTTTTTCTTCAAAAGTTTTATAAAGAACACAAATGACTTCTTTACAAAGTAAAGATAAAGAAGCATGACAGGGAAATTAATTTATTGAAAAAAGAACAATTCAGAAAGTCAGCAAGAGATAAGGAAAACAATAAGGCGTAAAAAGAAGTTTTATTCCAAAGAAACCTTTGGTTAGATATTTATTAGTGTTATGTCAACTATTTGGAGGGATGCCTTTAAGGAGGCTCTCCAAACCTTACTGCTCAGAATACCAAGGCCCCATGTTGTTGTTTTAAAGCACAACCAAAGCCCCAGCAGAATCAGAATTGATGCTGTACACATGCTCCTTTCCCTGCAATCCTAGCAAAAGTAAAGGGGGGGGGCTAGCCATGCTCTGTCACTATGGAAGTCCTTGAAATGGCCACCAAGAGCCTTTGAGAAAATACAGAATCATGATACTTGGAGTAATATTTTCAGAAGAGTATGAAACAGCCCCTCCATGGTAGTTGGCACTGTCCCAATAAATTAGCATACTACAAAAGAAAAATGAAACAAAACACATCACTTTGAAAACTATTCTTAGGTGAATAGGACAGTCCTTTTCAAAGTCTTAAAAACTTTGGGAGGATTATCAAGAAAACTATAACAATATGTGACACATTACTGTTACAAGTGACAAATTAAAATTTTGAAATACCCTACAATGAAGAATAAGTTTACTTACATCTGGTTATAATTTATTGCATATATTAACAATGTTTTTACTTCTAGACTACCTTTCTTTGAACTCATGTCATTCTGATCAGAAATATTAGGTGTTTGTTGGTGATGTTCTTTTTATATTTCCTCAATAAAATGAAATGTAAATTTAAAATATTTCTTTCTGAATCATATAAAATCCCACAAACATGGACATTCTCTAGTTCCCCCCCCCTTTTTTTTTCTTTCCATAGCCATGTGTGAATCAACTGCTTGCTTAAACAAGACACCTACCTCAGTACCAGGAGCTCATTCTTTGAGAGCTCATTCTTATTTAGACCAATCTGACATTTATTTCAATATTTGACATTATTGGGCTGTTTGCTGGTCTTTCCTCATCCTTTCCTAATAGAGACAAGAGCTAAGTAGGGGGATAAACACCTGCCCCTTTAAATGTTGGATTTCAATTCCTAGCAGCTCCAATCAATAAGAGTAATAATTGGTGATGATTTGAACTGTAATCCAACAGTATCTGAAGGGCCACCAGTTCCCTTCTCCATGGAAATATTTCTTGGGAAAAAAGCTAATAGTATCCAACCATTAAAAAACTGCTCCAGTATTATTTTCAGATAAGAGATCTGTACACCAATAACATGGAAATCTGGCAAAACCTATCTGATCAACAAAAACTCATTCAAAGAGAAAAATGTATACTCTGAAGGCAGAGCACATTGTTTGCAAAAAAGAGACATTCCATCCTTGACATCTTCAGGTAAAGATGCTAAAGGCTGTATTAGAAACATAGGGAGCTTCTCCAAGTGAATTTGTAAACAATATTTAATTAGATTAATACTTTGATTGAGTATAAGGTTTCTTCCTATATTTCTCTGATTGCTAGGATTTAGTGAAAATAATACCAAAAGCCCCATTATAAAGAAGTTCAGAAGCCCCTCTCATTTCTACTGTCAATGAAGAAAGTACTCGTGTGCATGATATTCTACAGTATACCTATTGTCCACTCACTGCAATAACATTCACAAGCAATTATTATTCCCCCCCAAAAAATTAATTTTGGGGATGTCAGTCCAGTTTATTAGTTGCTGCCTGATACCTTGCCCTATATAGTTTCATACAGGTGAATTTAAATAACCACTACTCAGTCTATTGGAGTTTATTGCCCAATTGTGTCATGATAAAACAACAATAAGATTAGACAGACATGATCATCCTATTCTTTGTTTCTGCAAGTTGCCTAAGAATCAACAATATATTTTTTTCATACATGTCCTAGTACTCAAGAACAGGGTCCCCAACCCCTGGGTTGTGGCCTAGTATTGGGCTATGGCCTATTTGGAAATGGGCTGCGGAAGTGGTGGGCAAGTTTGAGTGAAGCCCCATTACTCATGTGGAACCATTCCCTCCCCTCCCCCAACCCCACCCACCCCCGCCGGTCCACAAAGCTGGAAAGGTTAGGGACCACTGCTATAGAAGATAACTGGAGGACAATTCTGAATTAGATTGGATATAGTTCTTTTTCAAATAAATATCTCATAAGAAAAATAAGAATTTATCTAACTCAAAACTTGCACAATTAATTAAATGGTCTTGGATATTAAGATATTAAAAAAATATTACAATAGTGTACCAGCTGAGCATCAATCTACCTGCTTTTGCTGAGGATGGTCGGGTCAGTCTCTGGCTGTAGATTTGCATGGCAGTCTGAAAGGAAGAGAAGGGGCTGACAGTGTAACTGCCAGACCGACAACGGTGTAAACTTGTACTGTTTGAGGATGGGCGGGACACATTTTTTGCTGCATTAGACAAGTTGTCAGGTGCTGCATTGTGAGAAGAAGGGGGAAATGTCGCTCTAGAACCTGATGAAAGGGAAGGGGTTGAGTGATAATCAGGCAACTGTACATTCTCACAGGCAGCAGGTTGCGAGGACAATGGCATACTGATGTTTTGTGGGAGCGTGGTACCATGAGTAAAGGAAGAAGTGCTAAGAACGCTGAATTGCGGTGTATTCTCTCCATCTTCCGTTGACGAAGGAACGCCTAGTTAAGGGAGAAGAAAAAAATCAAGGCAATCAGGGCAATTCATATTTTTAACTGGACACATCAAAAACCTCCTTAGTTGCACTATGTTTTACAGGCTTTAGATTTTTTTATATAGCATCTGAATTTTCAACAATTTCATAAAAGAACTCTAATAGCTAATAAAAATATTTCTCAATATATTCTAGCCAGTCTGTATTTATATTGTTAATTTTATCATTTTACTATGATGTTCTCCACATGGATACTCAGTTTTCCATTTAATAATAATTAAGATACTCAAAGGTAGAACAGTACTTATTCCCAATTATTTGATTCTTGCATGTAATATTTATAAACAGTACTGCATCAATTACAACATTTGTTCTTTACAGTAAATTAAAACAGTATTCATAAAGTCAGTCTCATACATGAAACAGTCTATGATACTTTTTAACTACTGCACAACATTTCTACTGGTTTTATATCAACAGTATAGTATACTGTTTAGCATATTAAAAATTCCCCCAAAAGTTTTTGTGTATTCAATGTTCATGAAAATGTTTAACTTAAAATGCATTGTGGAAAGGATTAAAAATATTAGAGCTTATTTCATTGATCCATCCATTTGTTATACTAAGCAGTATCAATACAATAAAATATTGTAAAGAAATATACTATTAACTCTAAATTAGAAATTAGAACTCTAAATTTGAAAAAAGTATAACTGTTAGTATCTTGACAGATTCACTATGAGTCTAAATTTATCTGAATACTCTTGTCTGTCTGTCTGTCTATCTATCTAATCTATATTTTTATCACATTTATAAAGCTGCCATATATCCAGCAAAACCCCAGGTGGCAAACATAACATATAAAACATCAATAATAAGAAAACACACACAACAACATAAAAAAGGCTAGACCAAGACCTCTTATAAAAATATCAGGACAGCTATGTCATGGGAAGAGGCAAGTCTTCACACACCTTCTCTGGGTGGAGGTTGTTCCATAGAGAAGACACCATGACAGAGAAAGCCAACAAAAAGCCATTAAAGTTTTGTCAGAGTCTAACTATACAATTTTACTCTTTTTCCAATTTTCTTACTGGGTAAACTAGTTCCTTTGGGTTGATCAACTTTCGGCTGCTCTACTACATTTTCCTTCTCCACTGGAAGTTGGGACTGCTTTTTTTCATTTTTTCCCATCTTTTCTGAGTTATCTGAAAAGAGTTTTCAAAATTAGAAGAAAAATAAGCAATGTATGATAATGATTTTCAGTATGACATTTTCTAAAATAATCTTAGATTAATTGCATTTGCAAATTATATACATATACACACACACACATACATATATACATATACACACACACACACACACACACACACACACACACACACACACACACACACACACACACACACACATATAGTTTCTAATTATACTAAAAATGTGAATCCCGGGTATATTCATGTTGAGAAAAGTAGTCAACACCGGGATAAATATAAAAACAACTATTTAATAAACTAACAACTAGTTTATTAAACAGTTATTTTTATATTTATCCTGGTGTTTAATATAAACAAGCCTGTGGTTAAAAAGAGTCACTAAGCTTTCGTCAGGCCAAACTACCGATGTCATCAGAGTTGGAGTAAAAGGAGATCAGGAAGGCAGCTCATATAACCTCCTGCCTCTGCGTCCGGCTCCTTGAGCGTGTCATTGGCCCGTTGATTGTATTAATCCGTACCGCGCAGAGTTGTTCTGCATCAGGCAAACTGTCCTTGGCTCCGCTAGTTGTTTTACGATCCTCAAGTGCTCTTTTAGAGCGTGTGCAAGCACTTGGAGGGCGGCTGTCAACCAGTCCCTGCGCCCAGTCTCCCTCCCTCCCAGGGCCATTATCCTCCCCCACCCCCAAGGCCATTGTCGTCTCCCCCGTAATTCCTCCACCCCAGTCCTGCAAAAAGTAGCTGTTCTGGCATTCCTGCTCTGTGTCTTCCCACTCCCTCCCCCTCCTTCCAGATCGCCTCTGCCACTCCGTCCCCGGCTTAGGGCTGACAGCTGCCCTTCAAGTGCTTGCAGATGATCCCACAAGACTGTGCCCCAGGCACTTTAACAGAAAGAACCCAACACTGAGTGAATCCAAGTGACTTTATCAGGAAAAAGCAAGAACATTCCTCATTTGCTTCTTTACAATTATACTGAAGGATTAAAAAAAATGGATACTCACTGCCTTTGTTCCTGTTTTCCAATTGGCTATTACTATGCTTCGTAACTCCAGGATTTGTTCCCAGGAAGACACTTGCTGATTTATTTTTGTGTGTGTAAAAAGTCAGTACCTCCTCAAGATCACTTTCACTAAAATGAGAAAGGGTGTATACAAGAATAAATGGCCTTACAATGTGGTGATGCAGCTGCAACAGCTACTATAAGATATTTGAAAGGAAGCTCGGAGAGGGTAAGGGGAAAAGAAAGACAAACTGGAAAGAACTAAAAGAAAAAAAAAGATGTTTTTGTTAAGCTTGGTAAAATTCCATGCTGCATTTAAGGAAAGAAATACTTCTAATCGTCCAAAAGCTAATAATAAAAATGTTAGCTATTATTTCTATAAAATGTATAGTGTCATTTTGATGTAGTAGTTAAGGCACCAGGCTAGAAACCGGGAGACTGTAATTCTATGCTCTCTTTAGGTACAAATCCAACTGGGTGACCTTGGACTAGTCACTTTCTCTCAGGCCTAGGAAGGCAGCAAGGACAAACCACTTCTGAAAAACCTTGCCATAAAACCTACAGGGACTAGTCCAGATAGCTGTCCAGAGTCAACACTGACTTAAAGGCAACCCCACTCCAAACAGAACTACAGCATTGCATGTTTCTTATGACAAAATTACTGTTAAAAATCCCATAGCCTTCTCTGTAATTTAAACACTACCTCTCCAGAGCTATATTTTACCATCTTCGTTGCAAAATGGATTTTGCCCCTTCTTTAGGGCCATGCTACCATGAAAACAGAGAAAGAAGGAAAATCCCAGAAGGATATAATTCTCCCATCCACAGTGGAGTACATCCAATTCTATTTCCCTTTGAAAAATAACAATACTTTATTACTACCACTAAACAATTGTACTAACTAGCCACAAGCTCAGTACAGGTTAGTATATAAAGCAGACTTCTGAGTCTGAAGAATCAAGGTAGGTTTTGCATTCATGAAAAACACAGAAATAAATATATAATAATCATCTGACATATGGGAGAATAAAAAAGCAATACCTTCAAAAAGTTACAAATTGCTCTCCAATAAGAGACAATATAATTCTTGTTCTAAATGTTTAATTCATACCTTGCTTTAGTGATAAATTCGTGAAAGCCTTCCTCATCTACCCCCTCTTCTTCCTCTTCCTCCTGTTTCTTCATTGCCTTTTTCTGAGACATTTGATCTGTTTCCTAAAAATCAGCAACAACAGATTGCTGGACAAAAATCTGAATAGATACAGAACTTGCCATAGGTGTACTTAAATATCTAGGTTTTTTTTTCAGTTAGAGAAGCAAAATATTGTTCCACTGTGAGATCTATTTGGGCTTTGCATGCATTTTGCATGTAATTTTTATTCTGTATCTACAAACTAAAGAATATTAAGCCAAAAACTTTGTGGATAAAGGTGTTTTTCTAGTTCTGTTAATTATGGAGGTTATAAATTGATAAAAAACAATTACTGAATGATATCTATAAGAAATTACTGTGAAACACATACATTATGCAAACATTGCAACTGAATATTTATTTTAGAAGATCAGATACAAGTGTATTAAGTTATTGTATTTCTATGATATCATCATTTGTCATTTGTCCCCCTTTCTTACTGTCTTCCCAAGACACCATTTGCACTGAAGAAGATATTAGTAATGTCAACGGAATCCAGTACTGAATTTACAAATATTGTGCATCAAGAATTTTGACCACTAATGTACTTCATGTTGCAAAACATGAAGTAACTTCAACTTTCATTTAAAGACCTATTACTAAATAACCCTGGTCTTTTAAATTAGTTTCTACTGGAGCATAATCACATTAAAAAAAACCCAACAAAAATAGCAAAATGACTAGAGACGTCTTGACCAATAGTTTCAGAATTTTCATGATTTTCTTTGATTATAAGGGCAATGGATCTGAACATCAGTTTAGTAAACAACTTTATTTGCATTTCAAAAACATAAATGAAAGTTACTGTCAAAGTTGTTGCAATAAAAATATCAGAAAATATTACTAGTTTGACAAAGAAAACAGGTACTTCAGAGAATTATTTTGTTAACTAAACAATCAATTTAACATTCACACAAATTATTAATGGCTGTCTGTACGTTTTGGAATTGCCTATTTATGCCAAATTACAAAAATGCAAGGAAAACAAAATCTCAAATAAAGAACCTTCTGCTTTCACTGCAATACTTGAAACGGGACTGAAGATTTGACATTACAATGTGCAAGTTCCGGAAGTTAGTTGTCTCTCATAAATAACTTGGCAGATTACATTTTTAAAAAATCACCCCATCATTGCACTAGACATCTGAAAAGGTAAAAAATGAATGACTTATGCTGCTGCTTTTTCTTCTTTGCACATTGGATACAATGAGATTCATTAAAGCAAAAAATAGAATGATCTATTTGAATATGAATTTCTAGAACTTGTAAATTAATATTGCGCTGGTGCTAGCATAGTCAATACTCACCCTGTTGTAGCAGATGATGAATTCACCCAGCTGGTGAGCTAAGATGCGCCTACGGTCATAGAGAGCCAGGCGCCGACTTGGAAGTAGCATCCTCAATGACTGTTGAAGATTACTGGCTGCTCGCTTCAAAAAGCGAACCACAAGTTCCTGCCATGAAGAAACAACACTGAAGACAGAATCCAAACATTCAATTTTATTAAAAGTATATCTACATTTGTTTAAAAGAAGCCACACTGTAAAGAAAAATGTGTGACAAAAAGGATGGAATGTGTGATCTCAAGTATTCTAACACTGCCCATCAAAGCTTGGCATGCTTTGAATGTATCTTGGAAGAACTGTTCTAGAGCACGCGTGGTACCTCCCTTCTGCTCATTCAAGTCCTGTCTTTTTTGCAGGCTTCCATGAGAGCTTGAAAAGACACAGCTGCTTTGAATTTCACATTAAGTTTCATAGTTGCTTTAGTCAGTTCATTAAACCAGCCTCTTTTCTTCTACTATGTGGAACACTAGAGAGGAGACATGTTCCCACGAGTTCTAAAACAACCTTCTAAATCAGGAATGTCCAACATTGGAAACTTTAAGACTTGTGGACTTCGCCATGGCTAATGGGGGAATTCTGGGATTTGAGGTCCACAAGTCTTAAACTTCCCAAAGTTGGACACCCCTGTTCTAAATGTTTTTAAAGCATGTACAATGCTAATGTCTATTATTGCTGCAACTAACTACAGATAAAAAGTACATATCTGAAGGGCAGCAGATTTCTGCATGTCATTTTGATGAGGTACACTTTTGCCACCATTATTCATTACTTTTGGTCATACTATCTTACTTTAATGACTGCATTATTATTATCATCATCATCATCATCATCATCATCATCATCATCATCATCATCATCATCATCATCATTTCTTCCTACTTTGTCACCAGATAATGGTGGAGAAGAAATACTCTCCCTGGAAAATATTAAACTGCCTGGTATAGTGTTTGATTTCAAATACATTCTGTCTCCAGTTTGGATTTACTTTTGGCCAGATGCCCTACTAAACATGTAAATGAACTGCTTCATAGCCAAACCATTACATTTCACAATTTACCTCTCATTAGCATTATATTAGATTGGCCTGAATTGTTACTCTAAATATTATTTTTCACAGCAGAGCAGACAAAGTAGCTCTTAGAAAGCCAGTTTTAATTTTCCACTTGGAAAGAGTGGGGTAACATTTTCCACTGAAGCAAACTGATTATTCCTTATTTCTGACATAAGGTTTCTAATCTTTGAGCTAGATTGCTCACTATGCACTGCCTGTTTTCACAAAGTCTCCATTTGGGCTAAGATGACAAAGACTATAAATGTGGAGCAATATCATTAAGTGCTCTAAATCCAGTACTTTATATAAAACACCCAAGGTGATTCTGTGATTGGGGGGAAATAGAAAAACAACTCAGAGATGTTATATACAGCATTTAAGAAGAGATCATGTGGAACTAAATGCAAAACAAATGCAGCAATCTAAACTGGCTATCACTTCAGCCATGCTTTATTCAGCTAAACTTAATCTCTATCAGATTCCAAACACTTCTATTTGTTCTGCACATCAATAAACGAGACAGGATCAAAGAGAGGCACTCAAATTGTTTCAAATTACAGAGAAAGGTAAGATGTTTTAATATGGCAAATGGTTAAAACGTTCAGCATTTCTGCTCAGCCCTAGCAGGGAGGAATCAGCTTCATACTGACTATGATTCAGGAATGCTGAGTAGGAACAGCTGGGTCCCTTCCTGACAAGAACTGGGCAAGCACACCATTTCTTACCATCTGCTCATCTTCCTTGGCAGCCCAGACTGGGTTGTGGACCTCATCACCAGCCTCTTTCATCAGACGCAGCTGGACACGCTGCAGGTAAGCAGAGAAAGCTCTGCGAGCCTGAACTTTGCTACAGAAGAGAGGTAAAGGTGGCCATGAAAATACAGCTTTTACTCTACAAGACCTTTGCCAATCATTGTTAGCTGTTAAGAAGGGGATAAATATTTTAGAATCTGGATCAGCAAAGACAGTTTCATTGGAATCAAACTGGATAAATCCGATTAATCCAATAAAACTGGAGAACTGAATCACAGAGCTGCAAGCAAAAAGGATCAAATTTCTAAATTTCCAAACTGAAATTTCATACTGCCAAAACTTTCATTTCTCCAAAATAAATATGGAAGATAAGTGCAAGCTTAAAACAGATTTTTTTTCTCTCAAACACAATCTCAGAGTGCAAAGTCAGCATCTGCACTTTCTTGCATATTCATGCAAATCAAGATGTTTGCTGCATATTAATTGCTGTTTGAATACTGTGGGAATTATGGATGTTATTCAAACTAAGTGGAGAGGATAAGCTCTTAATACAATTTTCACTCCTCTTCAAAGAATCTTGGCCAAGAACATGACCATTTAAACATTTCCCATGTTTTAATTTTTTATCCTCTGTACTTCATTCTACAAATTAACTTTGCACTGCCTCAAAAAAATGAAGTTACATTAATGACCAAAGCTTTTAATGCCTCAGCAACACAAACCTATCAATTTACTTCTGTAAAATGCTGGCAGTGTTTCTTCTCATTAGTCAATGGTTTATAAGAAATACACCCCATCCTCATGTTGTCTTATCTAATGGGACCCAGGAGGAGAGACTTTTCTGCTGGCCTTTGGAACATCATACTCCTGATTGGTCCTGCTGGCCTTCAAAAGACTCTAAAGCCATGGCTCTGTCAATGGGCATGTGGATCCCGTTATGGCTGGACAATTGTATTGATTGACGCATGACTTGCACTTATCTTCTTATTATACTTTCTGGTTTTAATTTGATTCTAATCTATTTTAAATGAGTTGTTTTTACTATATCTTGTTTGTTGGGTTTTTTGCTTGATTGTTTAATTACTCTATGTGAATTGCCCAGAGTCACAAATGTGTGATGGGCAGCTATACAAAATAAATAAATTCTTGCTCTTATATTGTTCAAAATATACTATGGGACCTAAGCCAACTGCAATATCCATTCACGTGTTTCCACTTTTGCAGAGAACAGACATGCCAAATTATAAGGTGAAAATTCTATAACCTATAAACTGAAATTAAGAGATTCCACCTTTGCCAGACCAGATGACAGGAAATGGTTTTCTATACATAAAAGCTGGATCTATACTCAGTCATCCTTTATTTCCATTAAAATTAATATGAAAACTTGCTGATTATTAACTTAAATCCCTTCAATTTCCATGTGACACAACTGCAAATAATGTTAAATATGGATCCAACTTGGAAGATAAATATATAAAAACACATGGGGGAGTTAAGATTGTCCAGGATCTTATACATTAGGATATATTTTCCATATAATATGTCAGCTGAAATATTTTTATTTTTCAATTTTAATGTAGCTGTCAAAACTTGTGAACAAGAAAAGTTTGTTGAATACTCTGGATGCTCACTTATCTTAGAAATGAATACCAAAATAGCAAGCAAAATCTATATTTAAATTGTGATATTTTTTTTTCAAATCGTATGAGACAAAAGTAAAGAGTTACAACAGTAATAGAAAGTGATATCTGATGCCAACATAGTATGAAATGCTGTCACAGTAGTTTTAAATCCTAGAGAAAGAAAAGCCTTTTCTAAATAAAATGCATTTGAATGAAAATCTATTCTGGACAAATAAACTTTCTTCATATACAATTGACTAAGCAGATTATATTAAATTTTAGAGAAAATGGCAGCAAGAAAAATATAATATCTCTAAATACAGAACATCAAATTACTATGACACTGTCTTACAAAAGTGACCAGATACACCTTGGAAATTTAAACAGTGCATGAAGGTAAAAACCCAAGGCAGGCTTCAGAAATCAGCAATGGCAGATAGCTGTCAATTACCAGAACAATAAATCAGTACCAACAAGCAACGATTAATTTTCAGGCTGAATTGCTATCGTGTAATGTTTCACCAGCAACTGCAGCTAGCATCTTAAGAAGCAGTGAACTGCTTTGTGATGTAACTATTGGCAGCTCACAGGCAACAAAGACTAACTTGTATTTGAACCTGGCAAATTGATTTCTGATTGCTCAGTCACAGGAGGCCAGGGAGGGAAAGGTCCCTCATCTCCATCTGATCCATTTTGGAGACATTGCAGTCAAACAGGTTCTTGATTAGCTTGTCCTTGAAACAGGCTATTGGTTGCTTCTTCGTGTAGGTCAGGGGTGCCAAACTGCTGGCCCATGGGCCAGATGCATCATAGCAAAACTGCGCCCACCCCATTGCTGGCAAAAAAAGTCGCAATATGTCGCAACACGTGATGTGACGTTGCGAGTTTGACACCCCTGGTGTAGGTGGATTTCTGACTGGTCTAGGAAGCTGGAACACAACCATTTAGTCCCAATGCTCATCATTACTTGATTATCACCTGCTGTGACGGACTACATCACTGCCAGTAAATCATTACCAGTATAATCTTTATCAGTCCGCCACTGCCATTATGCAGCTAGCACACTTACTAGCCTCCTGCTCCTTCAGCTTATCTGTGAGTGACAGCAGCATTTGACCCACATGGTCACAACCAATCTTTAGTAGAAGTCAAAGGAATGCTGTGACCCTAATACAATTAGGTTCCAAACACTTTTTGGAGCTCAGTTATTGTTTTGTAAGAATTTTTTTTAAGTAGCTGCTTGACAATGCCTTCCAGAAATTTACTACCATTGGTCCAACAGCTTGCCTAGTAAGAAAGAATCTGGCAATACCTCATGAATTCAATACCAAGTAAATCCCCTGTCAAAACAGTAAGGCAGAGGATGCTCAAGTGTTCCATCAAAGGTGCCAGGGCATTTAGTTGGTAGTAAAGGATCTCCTGGTCACACCATCTCGATACCACTTTCAAGTCTGGAGCTGGCTCTGAACAATCACTAGTAAAATTGTTTACAACATACCTGTTCTTTGTTCTAAACTTAAAGTTACCTTAAGTCAGAAGAAATGTTTGGGGAAACTGGGGCTTCAATAGTTGGACCAATGATGCAAAATAGAATGGACTGGACCTGAGTGTCTGGAGAATTTGAGATAGTTTTATTTTTTTAAATATTTAGAACTATTACTATAATTTGGGGAATTTTATGCCTTAAAATAGTGAGAAATTGTGCTATTAATTTTCAGTAATAGCGGTTGGAGGTGGTTATGAAGATAGAAAAAAATGGATTTCAGAAGCTACTGATTACCTTTTCCTGCTTTAAGTTCTAGTTTGTAGCTTTCAAAGAGGAAAACTGCTGACAAAAACACTGGCAGCCATCCATGCATCTTATACCACTATTTTATATTACATTCCATATTTAGATATTAGAGATGTTCTACCACAACTCAGCTATTTTGTGTGTCAACTGCCACATACCCCAGTGCAACCAGCTATATAACACAAACAATGGAGGAATCACAAGTCTTTTAGCCAAATCAATCCCATGAACTCTCTTACCTTAAATTCCTGTTCTCTTGCAGAATCTGTAGCAAATTAAATGGAGGATCAGCATTCTTTGGCACCGGTTCCAGTTTCTCTTGAGGAGGCAGCCCTTCATTTACAGGCTTCTCTTCTGGTTCCTTTGGTAATTTGACTTGGTGGGGGGGCTTCACCATCTCTGTCAACTGTGGTTTAAATTTCACCGGCATATTTCTGAGAGAGCGGACTGTTTCACCCTGGCATATTTCTAGCTCTTCATCTTCTATTTCCTCCTCTTCTTCACATTCTGTTTCTGACTTGAGGATAAAATCAGCTGATTGTGATGTACCTGTCAGAATCAGTATATTTCCAATTCTCAACATTTTAGCAAACTAATTTTGAAAAAAAAAACAGGCTCTGATGTATGTCACTCAGTACTTGCATCTCTAAATGAGTAATAGTGGATTATATAAGAGCACTAGGTAAGCCAAATGGGAAATCTATATGAACTTTTTTTTAAATTCCAAAGATAGCATCTACACATATAAGATACTGTTTTGCTGCATTAAACCTGTATATCCACACTATAGGAAAATAAACAGGACATGTATATACCTGACAATCTTGACAATCTTCCTGGTCTCGGTTTGCCAAAACGACGCTTTTGTTTTCGAACCTCTAGTGATAATAGTTTCCGCTCGTACAAAGCAGCATGAAGCTGAGCGTTACAATCCACAATGTCCAGACCCAGTTCAGCAGCAAGAGCTAAACTGCAAAAATAGGAACAGAGAAAATTCTTCATGGCTTTTGTCCCAACGTCTAAATGATCTTCCCCTTTTGCCTATATTAGAAAAAAAAAGGACTCAGTACACTGTCACTTCTGAAGCCACCAAACCAGTTTGAACAAAGTTACCTGAGTGTATCAAAAGTGAGACCTCAGCTTTCAAGAAAAATGAAACAAAATATATTAAGGATTCGAAAAGCAAATCAACGCCTTTTAAAACCAAATGTTAAGGTAGCATTCTGCCACCCTCCTTAAATCTTATTGGGCTGATAAAACAAAGAGGGCGGCAGTTTTGCGGACCACTTTCAAAATGATCAGTTCCCGGGAAATCCATCCACAATTCATAGTAGGAAACCAAACTTACCTGGAAATCCCTACAAAAGAATACAATTGAAATAAAACTAGAGAAATTGTGGTGGCACAACAATAGTAGAGGGATGTTACTGAAAACTCGAGCTTGGAGGCATTAATGTTTACATTATGATCAAACATGCAAGTAGTTGTCTATTATAATCTCTTCCATAATTTACTATATGTTATTCTATTCTTCACAATATAAGTAAGATATAAATTCATATGAGGATTCCAGAAAAAGATTGGCAAGCCTTGCCTTCTATTCTTTTATATTAACAGGACAATAGCCAAGAATTAAGAAATTCTGCTGGAACAACAGAAAAGCTGATTTATATATAATATTCTATAGTGTTCCAGTTAGCCTTTATATGGCTATCTGGGATTAAGATCCATAGCAATTAGATTTATTCTACTATTCCCAGTAGGGAGTAAGGTCATATATTTATCCTGGTCAGCCATTTAAGCTCAAAATTGCTCTGTGAAGTAGGTAACGTTGAAAAATCATTAATTGCCCAAGAATTGCCTTTTGTTTAAGAATTCAGAGCACTGTATTCAAGTCATCCCTAATTTTATCTTCACAACAAACCTATAAAGTGGGATGGCTGAGAGAAAAGGAATAAAAGCATCCAGAATATTCCATGGTCTGAAAGGGATTTAAATGACCTCTCTACTCCCATGTCAACATCGGATAGCTTCATGTGTTAGGTGATGGGAGTTATTATGGGTTTGGTTTGTTATGATTTCAGAATCCAAATAAACTAATTTTAGTGTTGATATGAATTTTTTGCATTAGCACTGGTAACCCTTCAGAAAATTATTTTTCAAAATGTATACGTTCACATGTTTATCTTAAAACTAATGCATGAGTATCAAATGCCAAATATGAGGTAGAACTGTGCATAAAATCCAATACAAAATTAACTAAAAGCAATGCTAGTTCAATGGAATATATGTAATATTGAAATGAACATTACAGAGTGAATACAAGTCAGCTAGTCGATATTAGTCAAATTTAGCAACTATTATTGTAGAAATCAAATAGTTGACTACAAAGTTGTACAGTAATAATGGATTAAAGTAGCAAAAAGTGTCTGGGGTAGTTACAAGTATTCTACAAATTGTCATGCTTGTCTTGCCTTAGCCTCATCAGCAGTTATCAACCAGATGTTGACAAAATGGATCAAATATTTAACTCAAGGAAGGAGTATTACATATATAACCAATGGGCATTTACTCCCTTTATCCAAATGAAAATCACCAACCCAAAGATTACTAAAATACGAATCTGATCTGCTTACAATTGGAGCACATTTTTAATGCTGGCAGCTAAACAAATATTTAAATAGCTTGTGAAAAGTAGGTAAGATGAAAACAAGTTATATAATTAAGACCTCTTGTATTTAATCATTTTTCTCTGCCACATTTAAAATTGCATTTTGACAGCATATTTGGGAAGGTTCTGGTCCAGAATTCATGTACTATTCTTGTCAGAGCTAAAATATTCAGGAAGTCCTATTTATAAAATAATGGAGTCCTTTGCATGACATCAGAAGCCTCATTTCAAGTCTTACCGAGCTCGTCTAGGAACTGGCCCTTTCCTTGAACTTCCCCTATAAAGAAATAGAAGTGATTATGTAAGTTATAAGACAGGCTTATCTCAAAGCACAATAAATCTATAAAAATACTGTTAGAAAAACTAAACTGTTTAATAAAAATGGCAGCAATGCACAAACCAAAAGCTCACAGTAGATTCATAATGATGTCCAAGTCTACTATTGCAGGGGGAAAATGTCCTGCTTTGAGTACCTAAAAAATTTGACAGACCACTGTGAGAAACAAAATGCTGGGCTAAGATGTGCCTTGTTATAGTAGAGCTGCTCTTACATTCCTACCCATTCTTCATCCCAAGGATTCACAAACATATCCCTTGCATTTCCACTGTCAACATGCATAATCATTGATAGATCTTCCCTCTATTAATATGCTGAATAATTTCAATGTGAGCACAACAGTCAGTACATGGGTGCAACAGCCAAATTCATATACTCCAGCAACTATCTTGAGTGTCAAATCTTTACCTGGCAGAATCATTATGGTAACAAAAAAAAAATTAAAAAATAAAATAAAGCAGCAATTAGGTATTTAATGGTTTTTGGAGCACTGCTTGATTCCTGGCTTACTACTGCTGAGGATGAAGTGGGATGGGGGACAATATCATAAACAAGTTACATAATGATTCCATAAGGTTAACCATTTTAAAATACATGATCCACTGGCATGGGTTTTACCTTAGATTCACAAAACAATTCTATACCATTTATTGCTTGATGTGGTACCCTGAAACAACCTTGGTCTGTTAAAGAGTATGACATGCAAGCATTTGAAACATTTTGAAAATGTTTACTGCAAATATTTTTGTTTGAAATGTCTTAGTTCCACCTCATTTCCAAATATATTTTCTATAAATAAATACATCTCACACTCAGTCATTTTCCCCTTTAGGAATATTTTGTTTTCATTAAAAATTAATATTAATCCTAGCAGCGAGTAGGAAGATTGAAGGACTGAAGGACTGAAGGACTACTGATGGGTAATTATCCTAAAATATATTCCCTCAAAAGTTCAGCAAACAGCAACTGTAGGACATGGTATTCTCAATGAAGCCATATGTAATCAGCTTGTGAACATGCAGCTCCATAGAATAGTATACAATGGACAAGGTTGGATTCAATGCCTGATACTTCTAATTAAAAGAATCTTGAATGGATGGATGGATGGAAGGAAGGAAGGAAGGAAGGAAGGAAGGAAGGAAGGAAGGAAGGAAGGAAGGAAGGGAATAGTGTAGTCTTTGTAACAATATTATGTCATTATGGATTATATTATTAGTACTGTTTATATAATAATGGTATAAAACAAAAATTGAACTCCCATCTCAGCAATGGGAGATATGGCTCAAAAATTATATCAGATTAGTTTCTAAGAAAAATAATATATCAAAAGAAGTTTTCAGATGGAACTATTCTAATGTACAAATATTCCTAGATGCAGAATACTTGCATACAGCCTAGAAAATTTAGAAATAGTTCAAATATATACTGTATTATGTAAAAAGTTACATATTTTTATATTTGATCATTTCCAATTTTCATATGGAGAAACATATTTACATATGTCAGCTTTTTCCAATCTAGTGCATGGACTACAACTCTTAAGAATTTCCAGCCTGCATAGACCATAGCCTTACTGGTAGGAATTCTAAGGAGTTGTTGTAATCGAAGAACACTAAATAGTTTATATACTAAAACTTCAATTTATAGGACTTAGGTTTAGCAGTCTCCAGATTTAATCTAATCCCAGTTTATATATGCATAATGTCATTTTACTCATGCGTAGAATGTCATTCATAATTTTACACATATGGCCTGTTAAATCAAGGTTACATAAAACATTAGATCAATCATAAATTTAAACACCGTGTTAAAGGCCATTAATAAGGATTCTTAAAAACCTAGTAATTATTGGATAAAATGACAGATCTAATGCAGGTCTGTAAAAATTAAAGAAAAAATGTTTTAAAAATTGGTAGATTAACAGAAGATCTTACATTAGAATGGTTCTATTTCACTGAACTGATTTGAAGTCAGACATGACTTCTGACTTCAATAATAGCCGGATTATTTGGTGATACCTAAATGTTGTACATAATAAAGAGTCCAAATAAAATGCCACTGAACTTAACAAATTAACGGAACAGTAGAAGACAGTTGTAAAGCTGTTGAGGCATTTGGACAGAGAACTGTTGGGAAAAATTGTAGATTTAAAAGACTTTGTTCTAGTTCAGAAAGCCAATTCTTATGTTCTTGGGATTGTCTTCCTCTTATTTACATATTAATTATTCTGTCTTCCTCAGCTTATAAGTAGTCATCAACAATTTAAATCTTCCTGTCATACAGTTTCAGTACTATTTTTATAAGCACTCCTTCTCTATGTTCACTATCATTTATCATATTTTTTAGCACTTTTTACTATTTCAGTTTGATTCAATTTACATAATTTTACTTTACTGACATAATTACTGAACCACATGGCACACAGTGAAATCCACATTCTACATCCCAGTGTTATTTTCCTTCAATATCCCGGTTTTTCCCAGGCTGCTACCATGTCTTTCTTTTGATAACTGCAATGCAATGCCAAATATAATGTGCTTTAATATTACAGTGTTGTAACTCTTATTGGCTGGAATGGTTTCAAACTCTGGCTGCACTGATACACAGAATGACTAGGATACACACACACCCTACAATGATGTAGAAAAGAAGTTACTAAGAAGTGAAAAAATAAAAAGGAACTGAGATATTAAAAAAAAAACCTATGGAACTATCTTCATCCCATTACACCAACCCATCCCACCCAGGCAGGCAGGCAGGCAAAGTATGTTGCAGACCTCATCAGAACTTCAACTGGTAGAGTCCAGGATCTATGCTGTTCCGCACGCCCGTGGAATATTCTCTCCTCCCCCAGGCAAGACAGGCCCCCATTCTCCTGGGCTTACAAAAAGGAGTTAAAATATACCTCTGTGGCTTCACATGTGGAGCCCAAAGAAGCATGCAGCTGTGGGACTGGCTAGTGCCCTGAAAACCATCCCTTCAATTTTTAATTAATTTTAACAGAGTTTTATCATCACCAGCATCAAAACTGACACCAACCAGAGCATAGAAAAATTCAAAGAAATAGTGCAAGATCAGATGATGTGAACCTACTGAGCTGCGCTTGTATTTCAAAGAATTACTCCACAACGCTGCGTCTCCTACAAAAGAACCTCACTGTACATGTTACACCACAACAATTTTCCTACCTTTCTTGGAAAAGACGAGTAGCCAGCATATAATTCATTGTTGTCTTATGTTCCAGAAAAGGCCTAAGAAACCAAGAGTAAGAGAGTTAAATTTCACCATGAAAAAGAAAAGTATTGGAACAGAAGAAAATATCAAGTTATTATAAAAAACAAGAAGGGAAAAAAAGCCTACATTATATGCTTGGAAGGAGGAATACCCAAACAAGTAAGGATGTCATAGTATCTACTAATGGAAAATATTGATCATAGAGAAAGATAAAATCAGTAAGCTTTTATTCTACTGCAATATGCTTTTGAAATATGGAAAACAACGGAAAAATAGGAAAAAACAGCTTTTATATCTATTACTTCCTAAATGTATTCTACAAAGTCCAAGAAAACAGAAATGATTTCTTAAGTTTTTCTTACCCATAAATATCCCAAGTTAATGGTGTAGGGAATACACGAATGAACCCCCCTCTTCTGTCATATTCATCCTTCACTCGGCGCAACACTTTTATCTAAAATCAGAAGGAAGGCTAGAAGTCACCAGGGCAAAAAAATGTTGAGCTCAGGAAAGAATCTCATTTCACAGAAAGCTGAGATTCCTCAGCACATGCCAAAGTATATAAACTGTAACACTTGTAAATGAACAACCACCTAGTTATAGCACCCAATTTTAACACTTCCAATGTAGAGTGTAGATACTTTGTTCTTTTGATATTTGCTGTCCACTCTACTTCCAAGATGTCAGTCTGACAAAGATATCGAGTTATCAAACACATCAACCAAAAAGTATTATTCTCCTTTCCCTTTTACAAACACTTATATGCAATGACTGAATACAATATGTTCTTTTTTCAAACAGCCACTGCTGGTCCCAACAGTACTGGACAATTTCTATCTAATTGGTCACAGCACTTACACACTCACACTGATCACACTTGTCAATAACTTCTGGAAGAGATGGGATGCTATGATGCAATTGTCCTTTTTTTTCTTCTTCATTTCTTGGTGGCATTCAGTGCCACTAATCATGGTATTTCTTCTGGACTGGCTACGGGGATTAGGAGTGAGGGCATGTGGTTCTCTTTTCTCTGCAGTAGGTTCCAGTGAATGTTGGTATTGGAAATGTTGGTAATTTCTGACATGTGGGTCCTGTAGGTCTTGATGCTCTCTAAGACAAGGCTTTTCAACCAGTGGTACGGGTACCACCTGTGGTACATTGGCACCTGGCAGGTGGTACGCGACCATCCTAGAAAAGTGGTAGCGGGGGAGGGGAATGAGCTGAACCAGTGGCAGCACCGCACAAGCCTGAGCGAGAGATGGCTGGAGCTGCAGGGTTGTCAGGGCTCAGCGGAAGCGCCAGGATCAATGCCACTTTCCAGCTGATCGGCGCTTCTTCAGGGCTGTCAGGGCTCAGTGGAAGCGCCAGGATCAGTGCCAGGCTCCAGCTGGAGCTCGGCGCTGATCTTGGTGCTTCTGCTGAGCCCTGAAGAAGCACCAATCAGCTGGAATGCTGCAGCATCTCCAGGGTCTTGTGATTTACATTCAGATGCTTGGCAACTGATTCATATTTATGACATGTCAAGTGACCAAAACCTGTTGCAACCACCCAGCAGACGGGGGGAATAAAAACCAAACACCCCCCATCCCATCCCTGCTGCCAATCCTCAACAGAAATGCTCACAACAATGAAAACCTCGGACAGGAGGAAAAGTGCCGCCGGGTAGGCAGGCATCTTGTTCGGCTGTGGCTTGGGGGGCACTTTTTTCAGTGCCATTGTAACTTCGAACAGTCACTAAGCGAACTGTTGTAAGTCGAGGACTACCTGTATTTCATCAGTTTTTTCCTTTTGGGGGGAGGGTCATCAAGTTTTTGACACCTTGCTAGGCGACTGGTGGTACTCGGATGTTGCCATATCCTAAAAGTGGTACAATGGGTGAAAAGGTTGAAAAACCCTGTTCTAAGAGATTATCTGTCTCGTGCAATTTCTCCCAATGCTACCCAATTGTACAGAGTTGACATTTGTTTTATAGGACCCAAGACTCAGGTCTCCTTGTTGCAACATCTGCCTTGTGAAAAAGTGCATGTGCACATATGCACACAGGCGAACACAGAAGATTTGTACAGTCTCCGCCCTGGCCTCATTTAAACATGTCTTACAAACTGTCTCATGTTTTGGATTAGAGTGTGTGGTACGCTTCTAATGGGAAACTTTTTTGTCCAGGTTATGTTTTATTGCTCTCTCTGAATAATTAACATTCTTTTTAATTTGTTATATTGTTTTGAATCTGTTTTTAACATTGGACGTTGCCCAGAGTATTTAATGGAGTTTTTGGGTCTTAACAGTAGAAATCTGATAATTAAATAAAAGATTTGTTTTACCTCTTCCATGGAGAGGCCCAGCATGGAGCCAACATGCCTTCCTGCAACTTTCTCTTTTGCAGAAGGAATAAGGTTTTTCATCTCAGCATCGCTGGCAGAGAGGGGCCGGGAACGCTGTAGGATCACAGTAAGAAGTCAGTTTTGGCCTTTTTTTCCTCCTGATTTTATTCCAGTTATTTAAATAGATTTCAAATGCCAAAAGCATTTGGCTAACAGAGAGTAATAAGAACAACACTTGCCAGGCACTGAAGCCAGGAATTATGTGAAAGTCAGAAGGATCCAAAGGCACAAATGCCAGGTTTCATACTCCTTGCCTCCACGCCCCATTAGAAACCAAAGCCAAACTTTATATTCTCAGTGTTTGATACACACCCCAAAGCAGGAGCCAGCACTGATGATTTCTGACTCCATAGGCAAGGCATTAAACATATTTCTTGTAACTTTGTCTATGGCCAACATTCTCAGTTCTCACTTGATTCTCTAATACTAGAATCAATGATTTTGGAGACAATAAACTCCTAAAGAAACACAGTTCTAAACAACATAATACACAACAAAAAATCAATTAAAAATGAAAAACCAAATAATAATTACAACACACAATAAATAGAAGAAATGTCAGCAATGAGCAAGCATTCTAAGAAGATCTTCTAGAAAAATTGAACGTTCCCAAACTCCAAAGAACTATCACCAAGAGAGTAAATTTAATTTCTGTTGGAGACTGATCCATGATCCAAATTTTTTCTATGTTGGAGAAACAGCACTTTCTCTCCTTAGCCCTTGGTCATCTCAAAAAAATCAGGCACCACCAGCAGCTTCTCTCAGAAGGGTCTCCTGAGGTGGAGACTTAGGTTGGAGCAACCAATCTTGTAGATTCCTTGGCACTAACTCATTAAATAAAGATTTGATTAACTTTGATTAACACCCAGAAATCCTTTGGTAACCAATACAGAGCGTACACAATAACATGATATGATAATAACAATACTGGCTGGTTAACATGTAGACCACTACATTTGAACCAATTGCAGGTTCTGGGTGGGTTTCAAAGGCAGTCCCACGTACAGTGTATTGTAGAAATCTAAACTGAGATAACAAGGCTATGTGTAACTCCTCCAAATTCAGGAAAGTGCAACAACTGGTGCATTAATCAGAGCTAAGCAAAGGTACACATGGCCATGGCCTTCAACTACCCATCCAGCATGAGTCATGAGTCTAGGACGCCACCCTCTCGTAGATCTGATCCGTTAGGGGAAATGCTTGTTAAGAATCAACAATGAAATTGACGGAAAACTCTTGATATACTGACTGCAGCTCATCTTACAAGCCCTGTCATTGGCTAATTTATAATCTTTTAAAAACATTTTCATTTCAGAAACATCTTGGAAATATATTTTATTTTGCATTTGCACTGAAGGGATTCACAATACAAAAAAAAATCCAAAGTACACATTATATATACAAAAATTATCTTATACATTTTATACAATCCTGCAATTTAGCTCGGCCATAATAACCAAACAAGTCATGAGAAGAGCCTGATAAATTTGCTTCTTATGTGTCTCCTATTACCCAATGCATTCTTGTATCTCCAGGAATCAGTTCATCTTTTCCTCCTGAAATGCATGAAATGTACTGTTTTGTACCTGACGCTTCCAACATATTGAGAAAATAGTTGTAGCCAACCAGAAACACTTAATATTGTTTTCAGCCACAAAGTGTACAGTACACAGACAGGTTCCCAGTGTGGCACTTAACAGTCTCTATTGCAAAAGTGAGAAGTAGTTTTCCTACCCTTAGAATCTGGCAGGAACATGAGCTGCATTCACTGGAACATTCCTTTTCTTTGCTTAGGAACTGGGGCATTGAAAACACTGTCCAATCCTCAGATTAGAACAGGGGAAGTAAAAAGAACTTGTTGTTGCATGTATCTTGAGAAGAACCACTGTTCCTAACTATGTTCCTATAAATGAGGCACAACTGTCATTCTGAGATGTGACAGTTGCCCTTCCTCTTATTTCCTGTTGGTTCCCAAAAGCAGTTATTTCCAGAACTATTAGAAAAAATGCATCTGTCAGAAATCGAATAAAGAGTAAGTTTCAATTAAGTAATATGGTATACTTGTTAATCCTTCTGGAAAGAGAATTATCAAAGTTTTCAATACTTGATCTGTTATCTTTGGGCAAACTATTGTTATATAAATTATAATTGTATTTCTTTTTCTTTTTCTTTTCTTTTCTTTTCTTTTCCTTATAGGACTTAACATAAAGGAGCTTGCCAGATTAATTCCAAGGTCCATTTAGTTTAGAGCGCCTTCTCATTAATACAACAAACAATATAACCCATGCAGGTAGTTCAAATATGGATTTCTTCTTCTTTTAAAAGAAAAATGAAAGATGATTGACAGTTTTTTCCTCTTGGGAAAGATAGGCTTGGATTATTGGATTCCTAGTGTTTTAGTTTTCCTTGGATTCTTGAATGTTTGCTGTGCTTTAGTTTCCCTTAGATTTTTGAATGTTTGCTGCGTCCTTTATGTTTATGCCACTGCCACTACAGTACTAAATTGTCTTCAAGGTAATATTTCTTTTCTTATTATCTTCAGGTTTGTGTTCTCAGCATAGCATTGCACTGATTTTCTTTTTACATAAGCATTTTTCTGTGTTTCAGGAATATTGGTAATCTGGCTCCTAAAGTGGTATAAGTACTACCATACTTGTGAATAATCGTTTAATCTCAAAACAGGATTTATCAAGCGTAAGTAGCACTCATAGAAGAAGTATTAAAGGAGGATAAACAAACAGACACATTCAAAGTAGTGACAGAATCTAACAACAGAAAATGAAAAGAAAATACAGGATATAAAAATATTTTATAGGATCTGTTGTACACACCGTCCATATTCCTATATTTAACAAAAGTGTAGAAACTAGGTTCATCTAGAATTCTCTTTCACACAAAGATTATTTCCAAAGAAATGCCATATTTCCATAATTAATCACAGTCTTGGATATGTTGCCATTAGAAAAACATTTTTACTCTTGTCCATTAGCCTCTTTACCACAACTATTTGCATCACTTTAAAGATTACTGCAAAAATATTTCTTTAAAAATGCAAAATACACTGATTAAATTTCTAAATGATGAATGAAGCAATATAGAGCCCAATATTTACCAATTTGGCATTTGATGATCGAGACTGTGCAGAGACAGGGCGCTATAAAATAAAAAAAGAATAAAGATTTCATGTTCTCTTTCAAAATTACCAATTTCCTAAATTAGAAGTCATTTCTGATGTACATAAAAATGTACCCCATTTTTGCTTCATCCTCCAATTTACATCTTAAATATTTCATTCAAGAAATACAGAACCCACATATACAAAGGATGTGACACCAGATTCAAAGTTCCCCATAGGTGAAAGATGGTAAAAGAGGACCATCCCTTGGACAAGGCCATTTCATGGATGGAATCCCCTCCCCCCTCTTTATTTTCGTGTGTTTGCCCGAGACTCTTGTCATATTAGCAGGGAAGGGCAAAGGAATAATAAGTAAAGCAAAATACATCACTGCTAGGTAAGGAGAGAAGAAATTGGGCATTTTGTGCCTGTCTCCTCTTCTGGTTCTTCTTTCAGTCCAGACAACTAACTATACTAGTTTGTCCTCTGGGATGCTGGCACGGTTTTTAAATGTCTGGCTGATAAATGAATAAAATCTTTCTCATCTATGATTCGATTATGGATGAGAGAAGCACTTGGCTTCTACTGCTGCATGGCTTGGAGATTTGTGAGATGATTCTTGAACAAACCAGAGGATCAAATACAGTAAACAGATGCTTACTGAAACTCCTTTTTTCTTTCCAGTCTTCCTGTCCATTTTAATACCAATATATGTTGCTTTTTCTGATGCTGGGCACTAGGGAGATAAATGTATTCTGATGATATATCATCTATTCAGCTACCCAGCATAAGGGTGATCCTGGATTGGGTGTCAAGACTTCTAAAATGATGATTCTAAGGGATTAAAACAGCTATGCCATATATCAAGTTTGGATTGTTCAGGGTTTCATGGTAGCAATGTGGCAAGGGACATTCTCAATCCATTTGCTTTTTGTTTGTTTGTTTGTTTTCTTATTGGTCACAAGTATTGGAATCTGAAGCTGAAGAATTTATTTTTGTCAGAGTTTGACCACTTCTTGTTGAGATTCAGACTTCAGATAAATATTCCTTTCTGCGCAGTTGGAGACCCATTAGGAAGGTCCATCTGCAAAGAACAACAGATTCCAGAGGGTTTTGAAAGTTTTCCTGGCATTTATCTGGGTGCTTTGAGGTTAGAACCCAGGTGAGACTATCAAATAAATGAACCAGGCAGTTTTCACAATTGCTGCTGAGCATCCTTTGTCACTGTGCAGATGTCTTTCAAAAATGTGGTATGCAGGCACCTGAAGATAATAAAATGAGCTGGAAAACATCTGGAATGCAAGTGGAGGAAAACTCATCCTACATCTGATTGAGTGTTAAGAAGAGTTCATTATTGAACCTACTCTGTGGTGATAATGAAGGTGAAGAGGTAATTTTTCTCCTCCTAGATAACTTTGGGGAGAATCTGTCCAAGTTAGATTTGACTTGAACAGCTCTGCAATGTTTCCAGTTATACCTGGAGGCTATCTCCAAAAAGTAATGCTGGGGGACTATTGCTCAGTCCAACAGCATTTATATTTATTGGGTTTTTCAGTATTATATTCTATTCCCGATTGTATTTGACATATTATAAGGCTGCTGATTGAGGTCATTCTGAAATATGAAGTGGTATCATCAGTATGCTGACAACATACAGGCCTCTTTCTTGCTTTTATAAATGCCAGGAAAAATAGTGGAAATGCGGAATCAGTGCTTGGACTGGGTGAGGACAAAAAAACTGAAGCTCCATCTAGAGAAGACAAAAGTGCTTGTAATGGATGATGTGCCTGCCCAAGAGAGTTCTGAGTTCTGGATTGCTTTCCTCCTAAAGGATCAAGTTTTAGTTGGGAGGGCGTCTATATCCATCTTTGTCATTAAATGCACAGTTGTCCTCTGTGGAGTGATGCACCTTATGCCAATTTACGATGGCTATTCTGCAATAATCCATGCCTTGGAACTATCCTGTAATGAGGTATTCATGAGGTTTTCTTGAAGATGGTCTAAAGAAACATCAATTATATAAACAATATTGCAGAAGACTGCTGCATTACAACCAGTTTAATACAACTTCTATTTGCTTTTAGGATCTGGTATTAACTTATTAGGATATTGATAGTTTGGGAGCACTGTACTGAGAAATCTATTCGCATATCTTCTCATATCTCAAACTCAATTTTGAAGGCTTTGAATATTCCCCATAGCAAGCCTTCTGTGTCATGGAGCCAGCCCTCTAGAAAACATTCTCCCTGAGATAAGTATGGCCTAATCCTTGATTTTTCTTCCAGACCTTGAGCTAGGATGGTTGCGGGTTCCTTATAGAATTAATTGTTTATTGGATTTTATTTTTTCCCTTTCTGGTTATTTCTATTTCATTGTTTTACACTGCCTTATCTATGCACCCAGAGTTGCAGAGTCAAGCAATCTATAAATCAAATAAGTTAGCCAGTTTTTCTGGAGAGGGTTCTAATGCCGGGAAAGGTGGAAGGAAAAACAATGATCAGCAGCAAGTTGGATTGACTCAGTTAAAGTGCAATGGATGGAAGACTTGAAGGATGAGGTTAGGGACAGACAGTCATGGAGAAAATCCATCTATGTAATTGCTAAGAGTTGATACTGACTTCATAGTATGGAATTAATCAAAAGTAAGTGGGCAAATAAATGAATACATAAATAAATACCGAGGGGCTACCTGGAGGCTTTTTTTTTTTCAGGATTAGCCCTCCATACAGTATAACTAGCATTGACTGTATTACTTTTTTCAGCACCAGGCAAAAGGATTCTCTCAAACATTTTAATAAATCAAGATTAATTTTAACTTCTATGCTCCTGCTGGTATTTCTATAGTTTTAATCTCATTAGACTTTAATTATCAAGTTTTGTTGTGTATTTTAATTGTTGAGAATTGCATTGTTTAATTTTAATGGACAGTAAAGTGCTCAGAGAGGGCCTAGTTAGCACACATAATAAATGTAACGTATAATGTACGTAATAAATAACGCTACTTTCTTTTACATGTTCATATGATAGCTAACAGTAAATTCTGGGTTACAAATAGTATTTGGAAACACTTGAAACCCTCAGAAATTAACAAAAGGCAATTTAATTTAAATCACAAATTATGTTCAGACTTTGGGAAACATAAAAGACTTCACACTGCCTTGCAGCGCTAAACAAGCAGACAGTAGATGGCAGCAATTATGGTGCTAGTATCATTTTACATAGTATGAAATACAGTAGAAATCACTAGGAATAAGGGGAGTTTCTTTACAAAAATTCTGTGCCCTCTATTTCCCACTGGGACACATTCGATTAAGACTCTCACCTGCCACCCCTCCCACACAAAATTGAATCCAGGCCTCTATTAAACCCAAGCCCATGTGACCAACTCTGCTACACAGTGTGTTACTTCTCTGCTTACCTTGACTCTTCTTCCCTCCCTCTTAAATGTCATAAATATTAAGAGCACCAAATAAAGAAGTAACAATACCCTCCCAGATGCACAAAGGACTTCTAGAGAGCACTTTACTTCCCACTAGTGCAGAAACTATGCATGACTAAAGTTTTAAGAAAAAAGAAATTCTATTTTAAAGAACAGTTTAAAAGTAGAAAAGAAAATAGTCAGAGGAGAAAAAGTATAGGGAGGTCATTAAGCAAATATAATTCGTTATTTAATAATGACAGCAAAGGAGCATCGTTTTAACTTTTCTCTCCTTACTTGAGTTTTTTGATATGGATTTCTTCTTGTCTCAGAGGAGTAATAAGATGTCCGATTTAACCGCTGACCTGGATCCTGACAAACAAAGCCTTGGAGAGAGGAAGGAAGACATGTCACATAAAGGACATCTAACTATGCATCAATTGCCTCGAGAGCATCAATGTACCACCTAAAAACTAAGGTTATCATAGATGTTTCCCAGGGCACTGCTTAATTAAAGGTATTGTTGAATAAAAGAAATGGGTCCCCTCTGCAGAAACTACAGGTAGTCCTTGACTTATGACCACAATTGAGCCCAAAATTTCTATTGTTAAGTGAGACATTTGTTACATGAGTTTTGCCCCATTTTATGACTTTTCTTGCCACAGTTGTTAAGTGAATCACTGCAGTCAATAAGCTAGTAACACGGTTGTTAAGGGAATCTGACTTCCCCATTAACTTTGCTTGTTAGAAGGTCGCAAAAAATGATCACATGACCTTGGGAAAACAGCAACTGTCATAAATATGAACCCGTTGTCAAGCATCCGAATGTTGACTATGTGATCATGGGGATCCTGCAAAGGTTGTAAGTGTGAAAAACAGTCATAAGTCACTTTTTTCATTTCCGTTGTAACTTTGAATGGTCACTAAATGTACTGTTGTATGTCAAGGACAACCTATATGTCACTATTACATTTACATTGTAACAAATAACATTTATTCTCTAAAGTTAAGCATGAATTTGTGAGAAGAACTCTCACGTTGAGCTGTGAAATACAAAAAGGAGAAACTAGATCAAATGTGACTGACGTGGAAATGTATATGTATATAGTTTTGAGGGATTGATATTTCTGAAGCTTGGATGCAGTGACAGCTCTAAAATATAACTTTGTTTTATTGATATATAGTTCCCATTTTATAGGCATTTTAACAGCAATCATGGCAGATTACTTTTTGTAATGTTAGACATTACTGCAATTTGTGTTACCATCAATGTCTAAAAATCCAGAAAAAAAGCAGACCTGCCATGTGCAGGAAAATGCTAGGAGGAGGAAGACTGCAGAATGATCCCAGCTGCCACGTTTCCAAAACATTATTCAAATGTCAATCTTAAATATATATAGACACACAGGTATATCACACCATTTATTCAATGCTTTTTCATGCTACAGTACTTAGTGCTGTCATACTTTGCACAAATACCGTCTGTGCCTGTGACTAATTATTTTATTTTACTTTTCAGAATGATTCCCAATACTACTACAAAGCATTTACCAGATTCACACAACCAATTTTAACATGGCCTCTTCAGCACTTTGTCTTAAAGTCTGGAAGGAAAACTATAAAGTAACTTACTTTGTTCCTGCTATACATTAAATAAAATTGATGTTGGTAGAAAAGATCAGTTTAACCCCAAACAAATTCCTGCCTGCTGGAGCTAAAATGAAACTCTAAGTACCTTAATAAGGTTACTTATGTAACACAATAGTTGAATATATGAAAAAGAGCTAATATTACATATATGGAACATAATATAAAACATTAATTAGTTCAAACCAAGTCTGAACTATACAATATATGCAATATGATATTGAACAAGAATTGATATAACACTCACCTACAAGTGTGAACATATCCGAAAGCATGCTAGCTTTAATTTTCAGATCCAAAGGAGCATCACTAGCAGTATGGAATAAGAGGATAAATAAGACCAACTGATTAATCACTTTAATATGCATCTTTGAGGAAAATTTAATCAATTTGTACAAGTCCTATCATTCTAAGCATGGAAAGTCCCATTCCTGGAACTGCCAAATCAGCATTGCTGACAGAACAAACAGAATTGGAGATTTTGCATATATTTAAGCAGATAACATGACTTAATAATAATAATACATATATAATTTTATGAAAATCCTTCTGCCTTAACATTCTGAGCCTAGGTTAAAGAAATCTTAGATTTCCCTTTAACTAATGTTCTACTAGACTGAAAAATCAGCATTTCCAGACGGGAACTATTTCTTACAATATCTGTGGTAGAGCAAGAGTCCTCTCTGAAGAATTTGAGGTTTTCTGTGAGATTCTCCAAGATCCAGGGTATTTTTTTTTTCAATGTTTGGGATCTTTCCAGTTTCATTCATTTATTCTTGAATATTGAGATAACCAAAACCAGATTCATCATTAAAAAAAAACTATAGATGAAAATTCTCAGAGAATTACTTTTAAATAAAATGGCACTGAAGGTCTTGTTATTTTATCCCTTGAACGTAATTTTCGTGAAAGTGAATTTTCAATACTTACTACAAGCAGAACCAAATGTTAAAATGGGGTGAATATTATACTAATACTAAGACTTCTTTTCTTAAATCAATATTAACAATATTGAAAAATGAAGGAGAATATTTATAGCTCAGGGTTGAAATGAGGGGTCCTTGGTGCTTGAGCTTGCTTGTTTTCTTGCAGACATTTCATTACCCTAACTAAGTAACATTATCAGTGCTACCATGTTTCCCCGAAAATAAAAACTATCCCCAAAATAAACCCTAGCTTGATTTTTACGTGTGCGCCTTATAAGCCCTACCCTCAAAATAAGCCCTAGTTAAGAGTCTGCGCATCTGGCTACCTGCCCATTCCGTATGGTTGTTCGCAGTGCCGCCTTTAGGGTGAGGCAGGTGGGGAAGGGGATGGAGCTGCCCCACACCCCCTTACCTCAGGGCCCCCACAGCCAAGCCTCCCACTCCCTGACACCTACCTTGCCTTGTGGCGGTGGCACCAACAGCCCTGACCAGCAGGAGTCCGCATAACTGCCACCAGCCCACTTCTTCAGCACCTGGCCATCGCAAGTGTCGCCCCCCGGTCTCCATTTTGCCAGCAGAGGCCTTGAGGAAAGGCCTCTGCAACTGAGAAAGGAACCCCAAGTTCATGTGCATGTCGCCCCCCCAATCTCTGTTTCGCCAGCAGAGGCCTTCAAGAGAGGCCTTTGCAGCTGAGAATGGAGCCCCATGTTGGCTTCAGAGGCCTTACCTACTTTACTATGCTGATTCCATGTGGTAGTAGCAGTCTATTTGCGATTTCTGAGATATTCTTGATGTATGGCAGTATAGTTCTTTTTAGGGTTTGTGTTGGTTGTGCTGTATTGGGTTGAGTGGTAAAGCAACCCAGAACAGCAGAAAAAGGAAATGGAGCATCTATACAACACATTCCAACAAAATGGATACCCACGCAACTTCATCAAAAAGTCCTTGACCACTCAACCCAAGGTCAATTTCAGACCAATAATCAAGTAAGCAATACCCCAATCAAGAAACTGTCAAAGAGCCATTAGTAAACAGCCCAACCAAAGAATCCCTAAGACCGCCCCCACCCACCCAGACAGGAAAGAATATAAACTGACAGCCAACAGCACTCCTTACTAGCACTGATGACATTATCTAGTTAGGATAATGAAACTCTGCAAGAAAACAAGAAATCCCAGGGAGCATCAAGGACCCCTTGAAAAAACAAGGCATCATGTGCAAGGTCACAGATCCAATTGAAAGTTATCTTATAAACCTCCATTCACAAAGAAATTAAACATTAATTATCTCAGATAAAAGACTTTACTAAATGCTATCTTTTCCTTTTTAGAAAAAAGGAAGCTTTTCACTTTTCTAAGTTAATGAAATAGAAAAAGAAATGACATTTAGGACAATTTAGGGCAGAATACTATTTGCCATAGTGAATCCAATCTCTTTCCTCCTTTGAAAAATCCTTTTTTGCTTCGTCATCTGAATGAAATAAAACTCAGTATTTGTTTATTTAACCTGAGATGGCAGGAAAATAATCTTATCCAAGCCTCCCCCACCCCCGCCCACAATCTACAGTGGGTTATTCAGAAAGGGTCAAAGTAATATGAACACTGTAGTTATCCTTAAACATCGACCTCTACCTACCCAATTATTTCTGCTCAATCCTGCCTCTTACCGTTTTAGCCAAAAGGAGATATGGCAGGTAATAGAAGTGTACACAACACTTTGAATTTGAAGCAGCTGTTTCACATCAAAACATATTCTCCCAGACAAACTAGTAGTATTCAGAGAAAAAAAAGAATAGCCCTGTTTCAAACTAAGAATGCTTCTGATAAGGTCAGAACAACCATTTCAACCTCAATCCAGGGCATTTTAAATTCAGAAAATTTTGTGCATCTCTAATAGGTAATATCTTCTTGTGATCTGGTAGTTCAAAGACCAAAAACAAAATTTAAAAACATTCCTCCTTGCATACATAAGCCTCCTTCTATGTCTGATGCATAAAGCAAGAGAGTGATGTTACAGGCTAAATTATATCCATAAATTGTATCTATCAACTTGAGAAATAATAAAAAAAATCAGCAATGTAGTCAATTTGCAAACTGGTTCTTCCCTTCATCCAAACAAAGATCCACTTAAAAACATCAAGAATATTTTTTGCCCCCAAAGGAAACAAATTCAGGAGAAAATTACTTAGTGGCAATCATTTCATAACAGTTCCCTTACCAGGCCAGGGAAGGGGACAGATTCACCTCCAGCAGCCAAGGCTTGAGAGTAGAATCAATGAGAACATCAAAACCATAAAGCTCTGAAACAAAGCACAAAATATATCAGATGATAGCATAGCGGCGTTTCTAAACAAGGCTAAAATATGGATTTATATGATCGGTTTACCCTATGAACAATGTGACAAGGTTTGCTAACTTTCAAGAGTTGCCACTATTATTACTTCAGTTCTAACTGGATTTCTAATTTGTCTCATGGTTTGAAGTCAAGGCCCTGATAAGTATTTTTCTTATCTCTTTGTGGATCATTAATACTGTTTTTAAAACTTTACTTATGAGATTGGCACTGGTTTACATTTAGGTAATATTTATGTACGTAAGTGTATATATACATTTGCTCCAAAAAGTCATCTTACTTTACTCAAATTGTTTTTGTGTTTTACAAGTGCCCCTGAGAACATGCAGTACATTTGTCCTGTTTCCATGACAGATATAAGACCCAATTTTCTCACTATACATATTAAACACATTATACTAGAAACTTCACTAAACACAGTTAAGGAATCTCCCAAAACTTTACATCAAAATATTTTCTAGAGGAAAAATAATAAAATTAAAGATTCTTCTTTCCCAGAGTAAATAAATATTTGAAAGTGTATATTTTTTCAACAGGAATACCCAGTTCACTCAAACTTTATTCAAAAGAAAACAGCCATTAGATCTTACTTCTTAGACAATATCTTGGCAGCTGTTGCTATGGATTAAAAGACATCATTCCAATCAAGTGGGAAAAATGAAGTAATCAGACCACACAAACAAAATTTATGTCTGTATTACCAAGCCACCACATGTCAGAAATGACTACTTTGCAGTGCACACCCTGTCAAAATGAAAGTTGAATCTAAATTATATGCATACTATCAAGTGAAAACTAGGGAGAATTCTCAGTAAAAGATTAAGTAGCAAGAATAAATACAAAAACAGATAAGAAAACAAAAACTGTCCATAAGCAAGGAAAAAGGAAATACAAAAATTAAGCCTGTGATGTGATTTAGCCAGTTCATCACACAGTAGTTTCAATCTTTAAATTATTGGTTTTTAACAATAGTTTTTTTGGGGGGGAAACTAAGGTGCAACTGGTCACACATACTTCTGGAAAGGAGGTAAGGAAATAGACCAAAAGTGATGTCTCCACTGGTGGGATTTAAATATGTGAACAACCGGTTCTCTGTGTGGATTTCGCTTCTGGAAGTCCATTCTGGGCCTGGGCAACAAAAAATTAGTTACCAGTTCTGCCAAAGTGATGCGAACTGGCTGAATCCCACCATTGGATGTCTCCAATATATGTGTGGAGTTAAGGGAGAGAATGAGAGCAGCAAAGTTCCTGGAGGTAATTCGCTATCTTTCCCAGCCTTACAATTTCTCTCCCTCCACCCCCAACCCCAATCTAAAAACAAAATTTAATAATTTTGCCACCAATGTAGTACAACTGTGGCAAGTGTTTCCTATTCCCATTACAAACTGGACATAGGGGCACCTCTTCTATTGCTTCTTATCAGAGATAGATTTCATAATGTCAACTCTTCCACTATCCCTCCTTTGCAATAGGATCAGAGAAACAGATTGCTTTAAGAAGGACAGTTATCTGGGATGGGTCTATCCTATGACAATTCGCCGTGGCCAATTTGCCATGGCTAGCTCACCACAGCCAACTAGCCACAGTCAACTTTCCATGGCCAACTTACTGCGGCCAATTGTCCATGGGACAACTCAATACGGCCAACTCGCAACAGGACAACTTGCTGCAGGACAAGAGTTACACCAATATCAAAAAAAAAAATGGTGGAACAGAATCATTGTAGAAGGGATGCAAAAATAGTGTCAAAATGAAATGTGAATGACAACAATTAAAATATTTTTATTTATTTTAAATAAATTGAATTGTTAAGTTACTCTATAGCAAGTTGTCCCACCGCGAGTTGGCCGTGGCAAGTTATCCTGCAACGAATTGGCTGTGGTGAGTTTACCATGGCAAGTTGGCCATGACAAGTTGTCCTGCAATGAGTTGGCCACGGTGAGTTGACTATGACAAGTTGACCACAGCAAGTTTGCCCATTCTGATCTGGGAAACAAGCTATACTAAGTTTGCAGCTCATAGTGCAAATTGTGCAGATAAAATTGTATGAAATGAATAATCTCTTAGGTTTCCAAATGTCTATTTCATCTTTATAGCCTTTTTTCACTTTAACGTAAGTTAAGAAATTAGTAAAAGATAGCTCCTTCTCCCAGATCTTTATATCCAGAAATACTTAATGAAAGTCTCCTTCCCAAAAGCAAGACAGTTAGATATTTTGGTTAGCTCTAGTAATCTCATATATATAAAAGCAGAGTAAGAGAAATAAGTATCAAGTTTTCACGATATTTGTATAGCAATACTAAAGACCAAACTTGAGAATATTCAGAAAAGGAAAGCATAATCTCATAACTGATTATTTTAAATCAGGGGTGTCAAACTGCTGGCCTGCGGACCGGGCGCATCATCCAGAAGCCGCGCCTACCCCATTGCCGGCAATGGCCAAACCATCCCGATACGTTGCGTGACATCACATGACGTCACAAGTTTGACATGTCTGTTTTAAATGGACTTAATCTAAGCGCTAACACCAAATATTAAGTAGAAAGACTAAAAGCAATATGATACAAACTGATCCTTCAGTCACATTTTTTATAAATGGGGAATCAGGATGGAGAGAAAGCATATAGAAGAAATGGGTTCCAATTAAACCTCCCAAAGTTCTCAGTGGCAACTTTCGCTTATCTTTCAAAAACATTTTAACATTCTATTCCTGATCTACTAGAAACAAGGGCCATACTATAAACTGGGAGTTCACAACTTTTTGGGGGGGTTAAGTGCACATCTGGAATTTTGAAAGTATATTACTTTTATTTTCATAAAATGTGAAATCTGATACAAATTACTAAGGGAAAAAATCCAATTATCAGAAGCTAGATTGGTAGAATATCATTTCCAATATCATTTCTAGTTTCACAGGATACTCTCCACTAATTCATCTTATTGTTTTTTGTTTTTTGTTTTCTGAGATGATAGAGACATTTGAAGGGGGAGCTTTAGACCCCTGCCAGTCTAACTCTAAAAATGTTTTGGAGACCTAAGCCAGGCACAGAGACATTGTTTGAAGTATCAATTATGTTTGAGGCTGATGCTTTGCAGCATTCTAATTTCCCACTTTTCAACTGAAAATTTAAAAACTGAAAATGAATAAAATGAATTTAAATTGGCAAGGAGTCTGGTAGAAAACTATGGATGGAAACATTGGCACTCACAAGAATACTGATGCCCCTGGTACCATGTTAAGGACCCAGGAGGGAAAATTTTTAAAGCACTTTACTGACAGATTCCTTCCTAAAGGCTTCCCATTAAAAGATACTCACAAAACAGTCTTCATCACTGAGGCTGAATCTCTTCACATATTCTCATCTGCCCAGGTTGACCTTTTTTTTTTTGCCCTTTCACTAATATCATTTCTCCAGCCATAAAACAAATAGAAAGGAAGATGCTATAGAGCTTTCTGCCAAAGCCCTGAATTACAGAATCTAGCAAAATATCTACCATTCCCAAACCACAGGCAGATAGCTGTGTAACCATTCAATTCTTGTGCATGGAGAAACTAATGAATCCAAATCTCTAGAGTAACCAATACAGACATATAGAATTCCAAATAGGTTAATATAATTAGCTTAGCTACACAAATTACTTATTATCTCCTTGAATAAGATCTTGGATTTCAGCAAATGTTCAGGGATTATTGCAAGGAGTACAACCGAAAGTAGATTGTTTGGTATGCTACTTGGATGTTGATAGGCAGGTGTTCCTTTTTCAGTTCTCTCCGCCTCCCCCTCCTTTTCCTCAGCATAATGTTTAGCATAGAATGCATAGGATGACTGAAAGCCAGAATCTTTGGACAAAGCCAAAATTAATCTCCCACAGAAGAAGAATCTCTGATTTCCTGAGTTTAGCCAATTAAATGTTAAATTCCGTATATTCAGGCTTCTCAGTATGTGTTCAGCTACCAAAACTTTGGAGAACTTATTATATACCATACTAAAAATGACATTATTTGTCATAAGGAATACCATTTAAAAGTCAAACTGAATCTCGAATTTCTCTGCAAATGAGAGCTAAAAATGATTAATTGCTTCAATAACCTTCCTAGTGGTTTTTAAAAGAAACTATGTTTTAAGGGGAAACAATACCTTAGATTATCCCATTTACTCTTGTAGTTGGAGAGGAGTCTAGGACAACTCACCACCGCCAACTCACTGCAGCCAACTCACCATGGTTAACTTGTCCCAGGACATTCACCACGGCTAACTCACTGCAGGACAACTCATGTCGGGACAATTCAACGCTATATTAATCATTTCATTCAGTTAGTTCTATTATTGGTGACCATGTTTTCATCGAAATTATTTTAACTCTTGTTATATCTGGATTGACTCATTTTATTATTTATTATTAGCCATGGTTCTATTGAAATTAATTTAACTTTTGTATTTGTTGAATTGTCCTGCAGTGAGTTGGCTGTGGCATATTGGCTGCGATGAGTTGTCCCATTCCACTGGAGAGGGAGAGAGAGAGGCAGTGAGAAAGCTTCAATGGTGTGATCATGGCACAAATTTGTAAACCTACCAATCAGTGAAACACAGGGAGAATTAATTAGTATTCCAAAATCATCTGTTAAAAAGCAAGCAAACAAACCATAAGACAAATAATTCCACAAAATAACCGATAACATATTATGATGGTAATACAATTCTGAAGTTAACTTGCCATGTGCTCTTTCAATTTGGTTAACAAATAACAACAAAGGGGTTAAAAATCTTATCAGAATAATGTGTCAGTACTACAACATGCTTTCTTTATATTTATGGTCTTACCTACCCTAGAAAATTCTCAAGCCTACTCAAACACCTCGTATTAAAACTTGACCCTGTGATGCAGCACTCTAATATAATTAATCCCACTCCAGATGTTTCTTTCAATGAATGCAAAGAAATGTAA